CGCATGCAGCAGACACTTCTCTGCTGCACCTCTAAATATTTCGGTATCCTGGTGCAGAACACATATCTTCAATGTTAAGGGTTTCTTTACACAAAACAAATACCAAAAAAAAAAAAAAAACTTTGAAGCAGCTAGAGGTTAATATTTTGTGCAAGTCTAGGAATTCGCTTCCTCTGCAGTCCATCTAGAAATTAGAGAATTGAAGGCTACCTGTTCCCACAAGTCACAACATTTTCCCTTCCAATCCCAATAATTTTCTTTGCTCTGGTGCTTTAGTTTTTTTAAAAACAGCTTTTAAGGAAATTGAGAGGTCTTAAGCAGTTCTATTTCCTAATGAAGCATGCAGATGGTTCACTGTCTCTGATTATTTAATAATAATGTAAATAAAAATTGTGATTACATGTTGTTATCTCAATGGCTTGTTACAACATGCACATCTTGGACTCAGTATTTCCCAACTGTGCCCCTAGGTTTAAAAAAAAAGAAGAAAAAAATTAAGAACAGGAGCATGCAATCCAAATTATGAATTCTTTTTTCCCTTCTTTTATAAAGGATTTTGTTATTTGATAGTGAGGTAGAAAACAGCTCCCTGTCTCTTCTTTCTGCCTTTTATTTCTAACTACAGTACCGACCCTAATACTAGAGTCTGCAGATCACCCAGCATTCAGGGGAATGAAGCCCCAGGCTAGGGAGGCAGGTAGTGTTTCACCATAAGGAAGCCACCCAAGACAAATCACAGCGTTCCTCAGAAGCCTAGAGGTGACACTGGCTCCCCTTGGCTCGCTGAGGGCAGGGGCACTGTACCAGAAGAACAGGAACTGAACAGTTTAAGTGCAGGTGCAAAGCTCTGTGCTTATTTGCTGTGAACAGCTACACTTCAGCAGCGTCCGGCACAGAGAACAACTTCTAAGAACTCTACTAAGATAAAAAAACGCAACTACCTTTAGATGTTTTTGGACTCTGAATGCTCAGGATATTGGAGAAGCTGATGTACTGTTTGCCAAGAAAAGCTTTTATGGTGAACTGTCACCAGCATTGCATTTCCTTCAGTGGCTTTCAGGACATAAAGAAATTAATCAGTACTTAAATGCAGAGACAAACACTACAGAGAGTCAGCACTGATTCTCCTAAACTAGAAGTTTAGACCAGAATTTGAACCTCCCCCAGTGTGGATCCCTGATACCAACATTTTGCTTTCTATCTAACTTAGATGAAAAACAAATGAAAAAATCCCCCTGCTTCCCAAGGAGACCCCTCCTCCTTAGAGTTTGTACCAGTGCTTCAGCGTCCAGCCTCTCATATCTTGAATGCAGGAGCCAGAAAACTCAGATCAGATCCAGTTCCCAAGCCTCTGGCCTCTGATGCCTTTACAGAGCACAGCAAATCCCTGAACTGTGCTTTGGTGACACATACCCAATATATATTGTTAATTTTACCATAAACAGTTATAGATTTGTGAAGTATACCTTCGTCATTTCCATTTCTGCTTATTCTTACTGCAAAGTTACTATTTGTTGCATGGCAAACACAATCATCTAACAGCATCAGTTCAAGTAGGTTAGTTTTTAGGGTTTTTTTTTTTTTCTTTCTAGTGATAAAAGCATAGATTTTCACCACCAGTAGTTGCACAGAGGAGCAAGGACAGAGTCATGCTTGGCTCTGAGCAACACAGACTAGAACACTCCTTCCGACTTGCACGCTAAGATCCATTTTCTTTACATAACATTACACAGCTTTCACTTGGCTCTGCAAGACAGGAAAGGGACGAAGAAACCACCCTACATCCACTCCTGAACTTATTTTAGCTCTTGTTCTCAAAGTCCGAACACATCGCATCCCTTACGCTTGCTCCTTCGTTCACGGGACAAGTAACTATCAAAACCAAGCCTATCACTAATATCTAAACTCACAGAAGAAAAAAAAAAAAAAAAAAAGAATGGACAAAAGGAATTCAAAGGGCACTGACATTCACCACAGTTCAGGAAGTGACAGTTTGATCTACCACAACTCCTATGGAAAAATTTCTGGTATGGACTCCTTGCATCTTTTGCCCAGAAAGAAACCAGGCAACATAAGAGAGCAACTGGGGTGTGGGAAACGAAGGAAGAGCTAGTCAGGCTGCTACTCTAAGTCACAGCCCACATTGAGGTGCTGGGGAAACAACCACAATCTTCAGGGGATTCAGAGGGCTTTCTACGCCTCCTGCACACACAAACAAGTGTCACCTAAGAACATCCAAAACATTTTAAAACTTAAGAATATCTAACACCACAGAATACCAGCATGAGTGGCATTTAACAGAGGCTGTCACAGCAACTTTACGTTAACATGCAGAAAGAACTGTTACCAGGTTTTCCTCTTGGGCTGTTAAAAAAAAAAAAATATGCCTTTTTTGGTTTTTGCCTCTAAGGCCAATGTATGGTATGAATACATATGTGTATACACCTTTTATCTGTGCCACTGGCATCTGTTTAAATAGCTTTGTTTGAGCACATCTGTCCATACCCTGAAGGACAGGAGTCCAAGGACCAAACAGTCAGTTCATCTGCCGAGCACCTTGTTTGTTCCTGGCTATCAGTTTCCATTGGCAGAACAAAAAGGAGGGCAGGAGGGTAACAACACCCAAAAAACTCAAGCCAGGGATCAAGCAAAACCTTTCACATTGTGAAGTGCGAGTTACATTCTAAAATACATTAAAAGGCCTTAGATCCTTAATAAACTCCTGGAGACAAAACTGACAACTGCTGCCTCCAGTTTTCTCTCCTACAGCTTGACATTAGGTTATGTGAAGGCTTCCCCTTTCACACACACCCCCAGCCTCAGTTCTTTAGGAATTTGTTAGATTTCTTGCAAATACAAACAGGCCCATATCAAGCAGATTTCTCTTCTCTGAATCCTCCACTGGCATCCTTCAGACTTGAGATGCATTATTTTTTCCATACAAAAGCCTTCCAGATCTTTCCCAGTACCATACTTCTTTTTTCTCCTGCTAACTTCTACACTTTATCTGTCAGACATGACACCTGAAAAAGTTTATATTTAAATTGTAACTGCATTTTTATGTACATACATTCATTCAGGAGCTATAGCTAAGAAGATCAAAGTCTTTAGATCTAAGCTGTCATACCACCCAAGCAAAGGATAAACCCTTCCCCTCCTCAAATCCCTGTGCCGAGCCTCACACCAGCCACACACTCATTCCACACTCCCTGTCAGCTCTGCCTGCCTTTGGGAAAGGGACCCATGGCCTCTCAGTTCAGAGTTTAATGAAGTGCTTTCATTCTTTCACACCTGACAGAACAGAGACTTGGGTTTTGAGAGTACAGATGTATTAGCAGCCTTCAAAATTCTCTGCGCTGCCTTCTTCTTCATGAAGCCACAAAAATAACCAGTGATGCACCCAGAAGAGAACAAACCCACAAACCAAACCCCACAGCCCACCATGGCAGACAGGCTGCTGGTGTGTTTGGAAGAAACCAAATCTCACTGTTTCCCTGGGCTTCTTCATCAAGTTCTCATTCACCTTTAACTGAAACTGTAAACACTGTATGAAAGAAACCATCATTTTCACTGCACACTCTTCAGATATTTTGGTCTTGTTGGATAATAGAGAACACATTGGCCAGTGCTATCTGCCCCCAAAACTGACCATTTTGTGGAACAAAGCACAATTCCTGGTCACCCAGGCCTTTTAGCCACTGCCCATTACTTCTCACAGACTTCCCAAAGATAGGTCTCTGCACCTGTTACACGCTGCAGAAAGCACCACTTGATTTGAGTTAGGCTGCTTTGACTGCAGCTCACCTGAGACTGACTGACAACGGATTGCCTGCGCCTGTGCCAGATTCTTTAAATAAATAAAGTAAACAAGGGGTTCTTAAAAAATGACCAACACTTATGGATCCCTAAGCCCTCAAAAGCAGTTTCTGAGGGGACATTGCTAACTAGGTCCCTGGGTGGCTTACAGTTTGCTCTCTTGAAGTCCAGGGTAGGAATCCTGCTGATCTTTTTTCTCATTTCATCAAAAATTTCAAACTACCATTTCATGATCACTGTGGTCAATAGATCCACCTGCCGTCACCCCTCCCACAAGTCCTTCTCTCCTCACAAACAAGTCTAGAGAGGCACCTTTCCTAGTCAGCTCATTAATTTCTTATGACAAGTAGTCATTTTAAACAAACTTAAGGAATTTCCCCAACTTGCTTGCCACAGCAGTACGGTACTTGTGCCTGGTTGAGCTACTCCTCATTCCTAAATTAAGATGGAACTTCATGTTCCACTAGCATTTAAGAATTGTGAAACAAACTGAATCTTGCTTCACAAACCACTTAGTTTCATGAATCACCGCAGAGCGTTTGTTCATTTACCTGGTTAAAACACAGCACTGGCTTACTGCTTACAGAGGCCTGATAAGAATGATTAATATTTAACATTCTCAAGTTCATGTATGTGAAATAGCTCCAAGCAGCTATCCATGAGAATATTGTACCGTAATTCACCAGTCACACTGGAAACACATGTGCATTTTCCTGACCAGAAGGCATATTTCCCAACACTAAACTGTAGGTTCCTCTCCACATCCGGGACCACACGGAGCACACCTCAGTTAGCACACTGTCACTCCGCTGAGAGCCCCAGTATGGCAGTTACAACCTCTCCTACCCCAGGGCAGCAAAGAGCAGCACTGCGCCCCTAAAACCCAACAGTCTCAAAGAGCTGTGACACGAGAACAGGCTCCCAGTGACCAAACCCTCTGACGGGTGCTCAAACCGCCACCCGTTTTTCTAGAGAACAGACCCTGCCAAATGCCACCCTGAAAACAAAGCCCTATCACAAGGGTAAACACCAGCCCAGGCTGCCGAGTCCCAGAGAAGTAACACCCGCAGTAAGAATCAAACCTAAGAGAAGGCCTGCGCCCGATACGTCTTGGAGTGAGTAATCTTTAACAGAGCCAGAGCACAGGGAAAGGGTCTGTCCTGACCCCAAGCAGCACACGCAGCCCAGGCTCTGGCACAGCAGGGACAAGTGCCACCTTTGTACGGTGCCATTCCTGCCACACAGAGCTAACGGCAGCTGCACACACAGACAGTGGGATAATGCTCTCGTGTAAGTTGGAAAAACAGCAGCTAATACCTGCAGGAAATAACCCACTTTCCACTGGGGATAAAGATTAAGATTTGTATATGCGATGTTTTGTTTTTCCAGTCATAATAAACTTCCTCAGAAGATAGACAAGTTTGCAGGAGTATTCTAGGAACAGCAGGTGAGTTCTAAATTTCATTTCATACAGAATTTATTCTACAAGCATAAAATTTTATCTTTTTTTAAATTCATAAACAGAAAGAATAATCTTTGAATCCCTGAAATCCCTTGAAAGTAAATAATGTTGAAGTGCCTGCAAATTGCATAGTTAAAGACTCTTCACTTAGACGTGAAAATAACTAGCTTTTACTTGATCTTTATATGAACTCAAGCCTATCTTCTATTTAATAAAAATAAAAATTAATTCTCTGAGATTACTAAAACAAGAATTGCATGTGTTGAATTGATTTCCAATACAAAAGAAAAATAAGAAGCGGTTGGAAATTGTTGTTTTATTTCAATGCCAGCAGAAAGTTTTAGCTTTTAAAGTAAAAATAAAAAAACCCAACCCAGAAAAACCAGGCATCTTCAGCTGAAGAAGACTCCTCTGAGACCAAACGTACATTTTAAAAAGTTCACGTGATGTAGAGAAAATCGTAGCTTTGTGTTCTAAGCAACAACAGTAAGATGATATCAAAGATTCAGCAAAAGAGGGGTCTCATATGGCATTATGGGGGCTATATGGTGGCTATGAAATATAATCCCTATAGGGACTATTATAGGCTAATCCAGCAGATACCTCGGTTCAAAAAAATACCAACTACTGAAACATCTTTACAGAATCCCCAAATAAAAAGGTTTTCAAGACATAGATACTTAAAGTAGGCATTTGTTGCAAACCAAACAGAACTTTCCTCCCTCCTCCCCAACTTCGTTTTTTTTCCCTTAAAAACAAGCCCCACCTCTTTCACAAGTGGGTCTTCATTTCTCCATTAAAAAAAAAATAAATTAATTTGACCAGAGAACTAGTTCCTCTTTCAAACAGCAATACCAATACAATGAGATATTAAGAAGTAATGCACAGAAAAAAGGACGTCTCAAGTTCATTTTTCTTTTAACTGTATACTGAGCACAACATTGTGTAACCTGGAAAACTAGTGAGGTCATGGCAACAGATTTGAAAACCAGGCGATCTGCATGGATACGTGATTATATAGGCAGCTAACTCCTATTATTTGCATCCAGTTCCTAATAGCTTAAAAAAAAAAAGCTAGGTGTTTTTCAAGAGCTCACGCATTCACTCACTCATCTCCCCTCCCCACCCAACAAAACAACGAGAAACTGCCTTTTTACTCTGAGCTCAAGCTTCTTCTTTTGAAACCAAGCCCACATTTGCCCAGAGTCACATATATCAATGGTGTGTTATAGGAATATACACAAGGAACAGTTGTATTATTGAATGTTTTTGTTCTCATAGCAGATATTTCACGGTGAGGTAGAAGAAAGAATGTTCTTTATTCTCAAACACGAGCAAAAGTGTGCCCTGAAGCTTTGTTGAGAACACTCACTGAGAAAAAAAACTTAGAAGATTCCAGAGTTGTAGGGCATTACACTAAAAGAGTATTTGCACATGCTACCATCCATTGCCCACTGGAGAGGGTAACAAGCCCAGGAGGTTAAACATGGCACCTTTAACACTGCCCTGGCAGACAAGTCTCGGGATCCACAACGTACCATGCCATAGCTCAGGACTTCAAGTGGGCCCTGCCATTTGTTATGGCTCTGCTCTGCCTCCGTGAGGTGACGCACCCCTAAATACTGCTCTTCAAAACACTGCATGGGCTGAATAACTCCTCAGCAAAACTCAGCTAAATCGAGCCTCTTCCTGGGCTTCACAACATACCAGACCACATTTTGACTAACCATCCCTTTGATACCTGCACGAGACCTGGCATTCTGTAGCTACCCTCCAACCTTTACATGGAAGGTCTCCAGTCAGGGAGGACTCACAATCAATCACAGAATCATTTAGTTTAGAAGAGACCTTTAAGATCATTGAGTCCAGCAAGGGAGAAGATGACCTCTTGTCTCAGCTACTGGGACTCCAGTGTCAACACTCCTGTTTCACATGCACTTAAGTTCTACCAATGCACATGCTGCAGATGCCAGCGTAAGCACCAAACAGCTATTTAGTAAGGCCTAGACCTTCTAAATTGCTGGGCCATGAATGCCTTAGCCTAGTCCATCACGCTATCTTTGGGGCTGCACGTCAGCAAAACATCACCCAGGTAACTTCCATCCAGGACACAAACCCCACAGAGGCGGCAGGGACCTGGGCACCATCACGCTGCCAGAGACCAAGATGCCAGGCCACCTCCAATTCCATTAACTACACAGGGACAGCACGAAGACGGGGAGGCAGGGGGGCACAAGTTTCCTCATTTCTCATTCCCTAACAGGCATCAAATCTAACATACACCAAGGGAACCACACCTTCTGTTTTAATTAGCAAGCACCAGAACCTTGGTACCAGAACCCCATTACAATCAAAGATTAGAAGTTACTTACCTGTCAGCTGTAAGCTCCCTCACTCCAGCCCAGTCAGTCCAGAAGAGCAGCCTCAAGAACTCCAGAGCCAGTACTATCAGTACATTGAACACTCCATGCCATAGGCAAGCTTCTCTGGTTTAGGAGAGACTGCTCTGAACACCCAGCCACACCAAGTACCAAGTAATTTACAGATTCAAAATTCCCTAGGGAAGGCCCCTGAGCCACCCTCACACCTGTTCTTAATGATGGCTTCCTAATTACCTATTTGTCTAAACACCCGTGTAACACCCAAACCCTGTTTCTGCAGCCTCTAAAGCAGATTAATAATTCCTCTTTCAATACTTTTGTTAACTAACATTGCAATTCTCAGTATCAGGCCAGAAATTGCCACTGCTTGATTTTACTTTGAGCTCACGATCCATATTTCACTCACCTGTTGTTTCTGCATGCCGCTTAACTGCTCCTAGCTGTCTCTGGCCACTTCACACATGCCAGAGCCATTCGGGTTTCCAAGGGGCAATCAGCTTCTGCTTACTGAGATAAAATCCTTTCCATAGCATTAACAAATTAATGTTTCTTGGCAAAAGAGGGAGAGAGCTCTTTTACAGGACCAGCTTCCTGCCATTTTTCACTGCTTTAGTCCTCTTTTTCTTTTCACTGTAGAAATCTTTTACCACACGATGAGACCTGGGAATGCCTAATGCTCAGCACCTGTGTCAGTCTGAGCAAATAAAGACCAGCTGCACCTGAGGAGCCCATGCCCTTCCTGCAGACACTGTCTGTTGTCAGGAGCAGCAATTGCCCATGGAGACAGACTAGAAACAACAGGTTTATTTTCTCTGAGGTCTTAAAATCACACTTTTGTGAAAAATACTTTAGTTTAGCAGAGCTATAGCATCTATGACTGGAATAGCCATGTGAAATTCAATTTCATGCTGCAGAGGCTAGTAAATGAGTTAGTAAATATCTGATAGACTAAAAATGATACCTGTATAAAGTTTACATTTAGTGAGGAAAGTATCTGCAATGTCACATAAAACACTTGATGACTATTTTTTTAATTTTACTTTATCAGTACTCTTTATCTCCAAAACATTGATACTATAGCCACCTTATTTTTCTGTTTAATTGGAGGAAAAAGTCAGAAGAATCTAGAAAAGAAAAAAAATTGCCCCATCCTACCAAACTGTATTTAAGTGGCCTTATCTTGGCTGCTTCTTGTTTTTTACTTCATGCGCTTTTAGTATAGATGCCAGTGTAGGGAGTTCTATTTCCAGTCACCATTTGGCCGGAGCCACGGAAGAATAGGTTAAAGTTGCAACATTGAGTTAGAAAGACATTGTCTATGTGATTTTTCAAGAGGCCAAACAAATTTTTAACTCTGCAATTTTTATCAAAAGAGCAAAAACAATTAAAAGTGTGTGAAAGTCTATAAAGAACCCTTTCAATTATGCAAGCTGAAAGGTTTCACCTGAAGTGCAAGAGGCAGCAGGGGAACAGCAAACTGTGACTCTAAAACAAACTTCATCAATGACTGAGGAGTTTAAATAAATAATGATTAATTATAGTTGGTTACAGCAAGCAGAAGGTACTGAGCACCCTTTCCACCCTACTTCCAATGTTTTTTACCACAGACTTTTCACTAACCGCTTCAGAGCTGGGCGCTGGAGTTGAATTCACCTGTGCAATGTTTCATCCCCACAACCGGGCTGACTATTCCTTCCAGAAAGAGACATTTTTGTTCTGAGTGCCCGGGCCAAGCTAGCACCTCACCACAGCCTCTCCTCCCAGCACACACACCAGCGGGCACCAGTGAGCCCAAACTGCCTGAGGTAAGATGGCGCCCAAGGGAACCAAGATGGCGCCTAAGGGAACCAAGATGGCGCCCATCTCCTCAGCCCTGCACCTTCTAGAAGGTTCTGCTGCCCCAGCCCCACCTTGCCCCAGCAGCGCTCCTGTCCCTAAGGCAGGGGGTCTTGGCTGAGGTGACCCTGCCCTTCACAGAGCCTCTGCCCCACAAGTATGTGGTGCTTCGTGTCTTTTTTGAGGTGGTTAGACATGATTAATAGCTTTCAGGCCACTAAAATCTCCTGAAAGATATTAATTACATTGATCTGTATACCAGAGAAGGCAGCAAATGCTGAGTGGGTTTGTCTTTCCTGAGGTAGGTGGTACAGGCCACTGCCGAGCAAAGGTTTGATTCACTATGGCGGTTCCTGAAGATAATAATCCCACTGGAATTTGGACTCCAAAATGATTGTCTTGAAATGACTAGCCTTTATTTACTGTTCTAAGATTAACTGTTGTGTATCCCACGTGTGTGGTGTGTCAGAACCCAGTGTGGTGTGGGGAGGCTGGAGTCATGGGACACAGAGAGGTTGTGACACACACTTCTCTGGTCACAGAACCATTTATGGCACATGGGCTGAATTCCATGCATTTAATGGCTGCCAGACAAAGAGAAATCACTCCACAGCAGCATAGTGAGCTGATACTGACTCAAATTCAGGAAAATACTGTATATCATGTGGGGCCGGTCAGGTTTATGACTGCCCCTTGTCACTTGTGGCTGGCTGGATGTGGAAAGGGCAGCCTGTCAACCTCCTGGTAAACATAGGAAGGAAGGGAAGCTACAAAAATCTTATGTTCTTTGCAAATGTCCATTACTAAGTAGTTTATTTTGCTGTGGTTTGGGATTTATAGGATTAATGTTTTGCCTGAAAAGCGCAGGCTGCAGCAGTGGCTGCCAGGAAAAAGGGAGCTCTGTGCCTTCGACAACCATCGATGGACGGCTGATTTCTCAGTTAATGGAGACAGGATGGCCCAGCTGGGCAAAAGGCTTGGAGCTAAGGAGCCGGATAACAGAGTCTGCAGAGGGAGCAGTTTTCTTGGGGGGCGGGGAGTTTTCCCCTAGGGACAGGTAAATAAACAGAAGTTTTGTCTGTTAGCCATCTGCTTACATCAAAGTTGCTTAAAGTCTATCCACAAGTATTTTGCTGGGGAAACAGAAATTTCACGGACGGTACATTGCTAGTCAGACTTTACACCCTTAATCTGAAGATAATCCTCAACCCGAATTCCTTGTGTGGGATGGTGAATTGTTATGCGAATGCCAGGATGATCTAGAACTGATGTAACGAGTTTGATGATTGGGAAACTCAAATCAATTTCGTTTACTGAGCCCCAGCAGAAATCAGAAGAGATCATGGTTTCCAGGTTAAATACCTTTGCTCTACTTTATACTGCTCAAAGTTAATCTTTCTCTATCTAGTAGTCAGAATGACCAGAACAGGTAATCTTTAACCACTAGCCATTGACTTACAAGGGTCACAACATTTTCCCTCTGTGATCTAAGCTGTCCTAGCACTACATATGCCTCACCTTTGTCTATTATATTCATTATATTCTCTGTGGTATTTTTCTTTTCATACAAAGGTCAGACTACAGTGATTTTCAGTGTAGAAAAAAAAATAAAAAAAGAATAAGAACTGATTCATGCGAGTCTCTTCCACATCATGTAAATGAACCCTGATTTGAAAGTCTTCAGTTTGAACTGAATGGTGCAACTGGCTTTTGAAATCTATTCTAAATAAACAAAGTAATTGTGGGTCCTTTCAAACAGGCTTCCTAAGTGAGCTTTGTTGAATACGTGATGTATTTATGATCCAAATTAACCAGCTGCAAAAAAGGTTTCTATCCACCACAGTGGAAACACAAAACAGAGTGATTCGGGTTGGAAGGGACCATTGGAGATCACAGGATTCATTTCTCTGCTCTGAGCACCACCAAGTTCAAAGTTGGATAATTTTGCCTGGGGTCATACCTACTTATTTGCAGGGAAGAATCTGGCCCGCAGCTGAATGTGCAATCTGTATTGCATTATTTGTCCCTGCGTCACCTTTACTAACATTTAAACAAACCAGTTCCTTTTTTTTTTTTTTCAGGAATTTCCAAATAATCTGGCATTTAATTTCAAAGAACGGGACCCAAACCAGTCTGCAAGAGTAACGAATGTTGCAATGCTGTTTCAGGCTCCCACAGTAGCTCTGCTCCCTGTGTAGTGGCAGCACAGAGTGCCATTTTGAGGAAAACACCTTTTTTCTTCCAGAAACACAACCCCAGAAACACCAAGTAAGTGGTGTTTCCTCTGTGAGAAGTAAAAATAGCACATTTTAATCACTCTCTGCTGGCTTTGGACAACATGTGGCATTTTGGTTTTTTTTTAAATTGAGGGGTTTTGCCCCCTTTTTATGATTAAGCAAATTGTTGGACATCTTCTCTAGATTTAGCATTTTAGGAAACAGAAGGAGCTAGTTCTTCCCATGATAAAATTTGCAGTCCAAATACAAGACAACATGAAAGGAGGAAAGGCACTCCATATATGGGTAAAGATGAGGGTGCTCTGGTGGCTTTGTAGTGGAGGGGTTTTTCCATTACACAGTATTACATTATGCATATATTATATTATATATTTGAATCAGTTATGTGCAGGACCCTTCTGACACAGGAAGAGCTCGCACCTACTGGCCCGTTCCGTCTCCCTCTGGCAGTGGGGAGGGACGGTATCTGAGCAGGGACAGAAGGTGCATTTGTGTTCTACCAAGGTCTAGTTCTGCTACAGTTGGAAAGGAAGGAGAAGGCAAGATACAGAATTTCTTTCCAGATCTGATTTTGCAGTGGTTTTCTGCTGCCGGATGGACACATCCAGCCAAAACCAGTAAAGTGACCTGGTTCCTCACTTTTGTGAGACATTATATTGAAAACTTTGCTTTAAAAAAAACCCAGAACATTACTTTTACTTAGGACTGTTACGAAGTATTTGTGTTCTAATGGAAGTAAGCAATGAAACAGTAATTAGTTAACTATCAGGAAGGTTATCATACTGAAGGTGTGCTTTTAGTTCATGTTTAGAGAAATCTCAGGTTCAAATCCCATACTAGCCTTCACAAAAAATGTGGAATTTATCATGCCCTAAATCTGGGGGTTTATGCAATGGTCTAGTTATTGGTTATCTGGATGAGGTTCTGAAATCACAGAATCACAGAATCTTCATGGTTGGAAAGGACCTTCGAGATCATCAAGTCCAACCAAATGCAGGTCTAATTCCTGGTTTTGCCATTAGTGTTCAGAAAGGCTCGACTAAGTCAGACATTTCCCCCCATCTCATAGGTGTGCTGGAAGGTAAAACCTATTAAAAATGTGACAGGATCTTTGAGAGTTCTGGAAATTCCTGTGCAGAAAAGACAGCAAATCAAAATTAAAAAATGAAAAAAAAAAGATTGGTAAGACCCAGCGAAGGACAGGAAGATTAGCACTGTGATCTGAGGAACTGATGAGATCAGTTGCACTGGAAAAAGTAAGCAATTAATATGAAGACAGAGTAAATGCTCTTTGTCTCAGGGTTAAGCAAAACAGGCAGATGAAAAAACTCTGTATTTTGCACTTTCCCCTACCCACATACGCTCTCTCTGAAGGGACAGAGAAAATTGAGATTTCAGGGCATTTTTTCTGTTTCTTAGTCTGTTTGACTAAGGGTGACTCTGGCTCCGTGCAGTGAGGGCCATCTCCCTCCCCCAGATCAATATTTTAATATGACTTATCAGAAAGAGAGTGAATTGTTTACTTTAAAACCTCAGGATCCCATAAATGGCGAGGGAAAGGTGTCCACTGGAAAGAGAGGCTTCCAAGAGCTGGCCACTGCTGGGGACTCATACCAGGAAACCAAGACCTCCAAAGATCCAAATGCAGTGATACTCAGCAAAACGTGATGCAAGAGAAGCTCCGTTCTGAGAAGTCCCAGCGACACACTGGAGCATCCTCTGGCTGTTGTGTCCAATGGTAAGTGCCTCCCTGCACTTGATTCATGGGAGGGAAAGGAAATGCTAAAACGTACTAACGAAAATAAAATAGAGCAGGTGAATTCTGAATATGAAGAACTTCAGCACACCAAAATATCCACAAATGCCTGGGGCCTGTCTGTGTAATTTAACAGGTTTTAGTGTCTTCTACATAGATCTCTGCCTGCACTTTTAAAGAGGTGAGGATTTATCCATGTCAGTGGGCAAGCCACCCTAAAAATATAGTCTTTAAAAAATGAATAATGTTAAAAATTTTAAGAATAATGTTAAACCCAAGAATGTTAATGTTAAAAAACCAGAGTGGCAGGGAAGCTGCCAGTAAGTGGGGTCAGACTTCACCAGGGCTACAGGAATGTTTCCAAGTCTGGATATACAAAAAGTCAGGGTGTGTGATCCATCAAGGTACTTCTTTAAGAACCCTCTTGTTCTTCACAATGATCTTCTCAACTAGAACATTCCAATAATATTCTTTATACAAATGTCTAGCAGAAGAGAAGCAAAAAGTGTGTGTTTTTTTCTCTGATGTTTATACTTTACTTTCTCCCTGTACTGCCCGGTAACTTTCACCTTGTCTGGGTTTTTTTTTCTCCGTTGCAATACTAAAAACTAGAATTTTTCTCTCTTTCATTACCTTTTGTCTGGGAAATATTGCTGTTGAGTTGCCAGAAGCTTCCATGTATTTGTGGAGCTCTGAAACTGCCTGTTTGGAGCTGCATCACTTGCCTGGCTCTCTGCTGTCAGATACATTTCCCAGTGAATCCCGAGGCACTTCTGCCGGGGCCCTGCTGTCTTTGCACGGCATCTGCCATCAATTCTCAGACTCATCCTCAGAGAGCTTAATTAGAGTAGGAGCTGGCCTGACCTTTCTCCTCTGCTGCAGGGAGAAACCTGGGTAAAACGTCTATGAGGAAAGGCAAGGGGGAAAAAAACTAATATTGTGATGAATTAGAAAGCAATGTACAGTATTATGTTCCTTTGGCACGTGCTTCTCATTATCACCTATAGGCACAGTTGTTAAAGACAGCCTCGTGGACCTCGGGTCTACAACTGCCAGCTGCATCCCAGCTAGAGAGAATACCTCCTGGGTGTGACGGCCTATTTTTTACCTCGGTGCTATCTGGAAGCACAGGGTGTGCTGCAGCGCCCTGCATTCTCTTACAGATTATTTACCGAGCTCAAAAAAAGAGAGACAGACAGCACAAAGCATTATAGCAAAGGCATTCCATCCTCATCCCTTGGTACTAAGAGACAACTCCACCTCACCTGTAGCATCGTGACTCCTCAGGACTCACACAGCTCCATAAAGTCAGGTGCTTACTCTGAGCTGTCTCCACAGACAAAAGAAAGGGACAGGTCCCTGCAGAGTGATTCAAAGATCTGTCTCTTAGGAGAGGACTGACACTTTCTCCAGGTGCTCATCCATCTCCTTTGGACAGGAGCTTAAAGCTACTTAAAGGCCTGCTTAAAGCTACTGAGCTTTTAGACTGCTACAGCTAATTGACAAAATGTTCTCCTCAAAGAGGATGGGAATCCTGTCTCCCACTTCCCCAATGAGAATCCTGATGTACCATGTATAAATGTGCATAAACGTGGTCTTTGCTCTGTGTTTTGCAGATCCCTGCAGTCGCTGCACTGAAGCCTGTGATGTGTGTGTATTACTTCTTCCAGGGACCAATGACCCAGTGCTCCCAGAGCTGTGGAGTGTGACAATGGTGTTTGTGTCCAATCTATCAAACGCCATTATCACACTAAATAGCTACTGGTGGGCAAGGCATCAGCTCAGGAAAAGTGTGTGAGCTCTGGCAATACATTTTCCCACCCTGCTGAGGAATAAATAACCTTTTTACACCCTTTTTAGAGAGGATGACTCTGCTCTTCCTTTTATAGCAACCCCACCATAGTACTGGGAAACATATACTCTGCTACAGGCACTCCCAGATTCCCATGGTAAAGCACACGAGTCACCTTAATGAACCATCACTACAATGTCCTGGTTAGGAATGTGAATTTCAGTGACTACCTCTGGAAAACAAGGCCAGCTTGGGACTTTCCTCTAGGATTGACCATGACAATAGAATTCTGAAGTCAGTAAGCTGAGGTAGTGAAACTCTGCCTCTTATTTTGGCACCAAATTAAAACATATGTTTGGAACATTAATTGACTGAGATGCTCATGACATTTTTCAAACGGAACACTTTCCAAAATTCTGATAAAAAGCTACATTTTCAAACGTACTCAAGGTTCTTATTTCAAAAGGGTCAGAGGCAGCTGGTTTTCCCTGAGCAATGCAGTTCTAACCACAGACACTTCTTGAAAAAAGATCAACTTAAGCATTCTGTGCCTAGTATTTTGTGGATATGGACCAACACACTGAGATCCCTCAGGTGGTTTTGAAAAGCATTACCACTGGAACTCAGACTGTTTCTTAGAGCTTTTGACCTTTAAAGGTCCTCTCCAACCCAAACTACTCAATGATTCTACAAAAAACTGTGAAAGAACAGGGAGAATTATCAGTTTATCTATAGAGGACATCATCTAAAAACCCAATACCTATAGCCATTCGTGTGACTAATTACTTTTAAACAAGCAGAAACATCCCATAGAAGTTTTATTGACTCCATTCTTGAGTGTTTTATCATTGTTAGTCTGTGTAATAGAATTTAAATCACAAAGCGTTAGTGCTTCAGCCTGAACTACAGAGGTGCCCTGTGAAAAGCGTAACATTTTAAAATTGCCTCAGGACACAGTGCAATTCATTCATTCTGTGTCTGCTTGAAAATATTTATCAATATAATAATGCAAGTCCTAGCAGCAAGAAGTAACTTCTAAGTGCTCCTTTAAAAAATGGGTTCCAGTTTCTGCTTTGCTGATGTCTGTGCTGAGATCAGAAAACACGTGTATTTGACTTGCTCACAAACCCCAGGCCTTGGTTCCCTCTGCAAAAGGCAAAAAGCAGGCTTTGGCTCAGATTAAAACACTGTGAAAGAGGCAGCTGTATCTCCCGCTCAGCTCAGTGGGCTGGTAAATCCAGAGCTCAATGAGAACACTGCTCACCTCACTGATAATTAGTATTTCACTGCTTCGGATTTTGCAGACCCAGCCAACACGTACCAGTAACACAGGCACACTGAGGTAAAGCCATAGCTCTACAGGGAGATCTTCCCTCTGCCCCTGAAGTCAACTGAGATAGCTTTCAGGACCAAGCTTTCTTCTCCCAGCCCCATTTAGAATCATAGAATGGTTTGGGTTGGAAGGGACCTCAAAGATCATCGAGTTCCAACCCCCTGCCCTGGGCAGGGACACCTCCCACCAGACCAGGTTGCTCCAAGCCCCATCCAGCCTGGCCTTGAATGCTTCCAGGGATGGGGCATCCACGACTTCCCTGGGCAACCTGTTCCAGTGCCTCACCACCCTCACAGGAAAGAATTTCTTTCTAGTATCAAATCTAAATCTCCCCTCTTCCAATTTAAAACCATTGCCCCTTGTCCTTTCACTACACTTCCTGACAAAGTTCTTGGTCGAGACCTTTGTGTAAAGTTGAGTTTAGATGCACTCAGCTTTCATTCTTCTCAGACAGCCAGGAAATACCTCCCAATACAGGGTATATACATATTTCCTGTAACAGCAAGGGGAGGGTGGGTCGAGTGGCTAGTTATCGGCCTACACAGAACAGCAATTAATAGCAAAGTCTTCTTAAAAAAAATCTGACATGAAAATTTAGACATGGGCAGAAAACTGTCTGTAAGTCATCATTTCCCATCAGCTTCTGACGTGCCCACTGGAGCTCTGTGTCACCCTCAGACCATCCACATTTTAAACTCTTCATACTGTGACCCAGAAAGGACAGTAAGGACCTGAGGGTGTTTTGTCACCAGCACAGCCAAGGTGTTCCTGCAGAGTCCCTCCTGCCAGGCACGCGGACCAGAGGCAGACAGGCAGCTCGGCAAGCGTGAGAGAGCAGGGGGCAACAAGGCAACACCTAAAAGGCAAAGACTCTGTTCCCTATTCCCCTTCGATGCGGCAAAGAGCAATCCCGGGAGCACCACCACAGAGCCAGGCTCTAAAACCTGTCCAGATGGCTATCACCTGAGGTGATCAGTCAAGCCCTGTCCACTTTTGGCAGCTACTAATGTATAATTATTTCAGCGTAATTGCATGTGTAGCTGAACTCAAGGGCAACCACTGAATTTTAACACGATTACGTGACATGATTATAACTGAAGCTTTTTTTCTATTACAGAAAAGCGACTGCTTTAAACCAGTGTATTGCTAGTTTTTCCTGTTACCATCAGTTAAAATTTCCACTGACAGAAATTCAGGAATCGTGACTCCCACAGTGTTGCAATACATCAGCAACATAGTATGTCGTTAACAAACAAAATACATTCAATAAACCCCTGAGCAGTGGAAAATCATCCGTTTCAGCTGGGTGTGTGTCTATTTAACCCAAATGTGATGGTTTGTTATTATATAACACGAAACATCAACAGAACGAATTCTCTGAAGTGGTGGTGGGGGGTGAGTGTTGGTTTCCCAATACCCTGTCTCTTAGGAATCAGAAAGAGGGGAGATGGGAGAAAATTTCCTTCCCAAAGATGCTCCATGCCACTGTCACATGGTATTTCCTAAATGACCAGAAACTGTCTACTTCAGAAAGCTGGGGAACTGCTTTCCAGCTCCTACATGTCCAACAGGAGTACCTCAGGTGAAGTCAGGGTGGCCTGCAGACACCCACACATGCAGCACATGGACCAGGCAGTAGGGAGTAACCCCCAGGTGAAGCCCCAGCCTGGGGCTGAAATGGCTTCATCCGCCTGGCACAGAAGGGCTCCCACAGACGGGCACTGGTTCCTGGCACCCCTGGAATTCAGTGATGGCAGGGGGACAAGCAGCCTGACAGCGCCCAGGGTCTGTACCCTGGGGGGGTCTGCAGGCTGGGTTTTGGTGCTGGCCATCAGGTGCCTGCAATAAGCAACTCCACGCTACACGGAAAAGCCACTGTGCTTATTCCAGTTGGAAACGCTGGAGGGTACTGAAACACCCTCTGCATGCCATGGTGTATTTCAGATGGCTGTTTGGCAACAGGCAGACTCCAAAACCCCATCCTACAACAGGATAGGTGCAAGCACAACAGTACTGTGCCACGGGGTTAAGTGTAGGCACAAGGAAGCTCGCGTGGAGAGCAAAGAGAATCACACAAGCTGCCCATCTGCAAGCTGATGGCATCATTTTGTGGGACCTGAAAGATGGCAGCTAATTTTGTGGGGGCAGAAGACAGATATGCCCAATCATGAATAGCTTTGTCTTGTATTAAAAGACATGAAAGTGGGAGAAAAAGATACAAGAATAGGATTATAGTGGGATTACAATATGGAAAAATCTGGGAAAGAAAACAATTTCTCTATAGCAGCCTGAGCAACAAAACTGTGCAAAACTTTCACTAAGTGGCATCTGACATATATTGCTGTTCATGTAGCAGCTGAACCCAGAGGGTCACAGGCGCAGGCACATGGGAGGGGAGATGTTCTCCAGTGGCCCATGGTGCACCCTGTGTCCAAGACTCCAAACGTGCGGGCACCAATACAGAGAGGGGCTGTGAGACAATCCAGGCAGACGCGTTCGTTTGCCTCCGAAACCGTGGCCGGGTGTGAAATCTCAGGTACCAGGGCCAGAGAATCAGCTCCTTCCTTTGTCGCTGGCACCAGCACCAGGATGGCTTCAAAGTGATGTCACGAGGCAAAAGACTGAAGTTATCCCCCACCAGGTCATCGGTGTCTGTCACCAGTACAGATCTTCAGGAGAAGTTCGCACAGGATGGGACAGTGCAGCTCAGTGCTCGGAGGAAATGAAGCCTCGAGGGTCTCTGCCTTTCTTGGGCACTGCTTTCTTTAGCGTTGATGAGTTTGGTAGATTTTTGTTTTTCAGGGGTGTTGCTTTCCTCTGTTTCTGATGAGTGGTTCGGAGAGATTGCAGGCCCAGCATCTCACAGTACTTATTGCACTGGTGGAGGGCTCTGAACTGCTCAATGAAGGAAATCGAGCAGTTGCCTTTAAAACCTTTGTATCTGTAGCAACAAAGAAGAAAAAAAAGCCAAATGGGATTTCAAGATCCATTTTCAGCACGGAGAGGCAGAGCACGACTGTTCACTCACAAGCAACTTGAAAACATTGAGCAAGCCTCTTCCACCCACGCTGTTTCGAAAAGCATCCAAACACGTACATAAGTTCTGTGCAACACTTCTACCTCACCCTAGCTGGACTGAAAGATCTCACGCATCTTTGCTCCATCCCTGGAAACATCCCAGGCCAGGCTGGATGGGGCTCTGAGCAACCTGCTCTAGTTGAAGATATCCCTGCTCATGGAAGGGGAGGTTGGACCAGATGGGCTTTGAAGGCCGCTTCCCACCCAAACTATTCTATGCTTCTCTGATTCTGTGATTCGAAGGAGCCAAGCCTCTCGGGGAGGACGTAAGGAAGAGATGGAAGAAAGTTCTTGGGAACACTCATAGCTCCCAAGGCACCACCACCACATCTCCCACTGCTACTTATAAACAGCCAGATGAACCCCAAAGCATTAATAGGTTTTTTTTCCTCTCCTCTCCAAGTAATTACATGCTTGTTTACCCAAAGGAAGTTTAAGAGGCTGCCACTGTTACTTCAAGGCCATACGTGGAGCTCAGCAAGACAATCAACTGTTCCCTCGCTGCTTTGGAGAAATAACAGACTTGAGACTTCCTACATGAGCTCCTTGACCAGAGCCATGAGGTCCATGCTCCAGACACCGCAGCAGGACATGAGTTCCACAGGCAGAAACGTGCCTGTGCTCAGCAAGAAAATCTCTTCATATCAGGCACTGATCCTGACTCCAGAAAGTGGTTACGCTGTCAGCAGAGAGCAATAACTGAGATCAAAATACTCTGATTAATTCACCATAAATTTCAGACTCTGGTCTGGAGGGGCTGCAAGGCTCCTGCCCTTCGTGTAGGTCTCTTCTGGCAGAAGCATTATGTTAAGGCACCTCCAGGGCTATCAGCTGGTGAGAAGTATCACTGCACTCACTGCTGGCTCCTGCAGTTTGTGGCTGCAGAAGGATCACTCTCGCTTTCTCTTGCCCTCGCTTTCTGTTTTGTCCTGGGGAGCCATTTTGTCGCAGCTGAAGAAAATTTCTTCATCTGTTTTTCTCTCATGCTATAAAATTCTGATAATACTCATTGCTTTGTGGAAATAATCTTGGAAAGAAAGAGCTGAGCTAAAAAAAAAAAAAATATCCACTTTTCTCATGAAGTAAATAGAAGTCTGTCAACTTGGCTTTCCTTTCTGTATGTGGTGTTTCTCACTTCGCCTATGTCTTTGAAGGAACATCTCAACAAAGAGCAGAAAGAGCAGCATTTGCTCAGATGACAGTTTAAGAGACACTTTAATGAACAACTGAATGCTCTGCTGACTAACTTTAGCTTTAGAATTCAACAAATGCCAGAAATATTTGCAGTGAAAGTAAGAGCATAAATATCTTGTGAACAAGAGACAGAAAGCTTATATTAAAACCACACAAGTATTCTAATTGTACTAGCTGTGCTCCTAAATCAATGACCACAACTCTGCTGCAACCTGGCAGGACCCAGGAGCTTACCCCGAACCACTCCGTGCTGTTTGGAGCTGGGGAGGTGCTCCTCCGGGGAATGGCTTCTAAATCACAGGGCCCTTGTGTGTTGCGTGCTCAGGAACACCAAACTATCCACCATCCCAAGCCTTGAAAAATACAAACCCGTGATTTTGCACAGCACACGCTGTTGATTCGCTGACTTGATGACTGATAAACGAAACCCAGACAGAATTCCACCTCCCAAAAAATTCGACAGCTGGGGCTTGGCCCTAACCAGATCTTCCTTACATCTGAAGGGGGAATGTTGGATTTGTCCCCAGGCTTAAACTCCCCAATGCCCCTTGTTGCCAAACTGAATTTGCCAATGCCCTGAAATCAGACAGACTTTCGGATCCACATTTGGCAAAGAGCACTCCTGGTCACCACCATGACCACAGGTCACCGTGTTCCCAACTCCTTCGTCTTTGTGTTTGCCAGGCTTGGACAAATACCTGGGCACCCGGACACCACTCCTCAGCTGCCCCACTGACTGCACGGAGCAGCCAGTCACTGTCTTGTATTATTTTTGTTTACCTTGGCCACAGAACTCACTAAGTGCTTATTTAAAGGACTGATTGCCTGGCTCTGGTGCGCCCCAGCGGCTACATTAAAAATCCTTCCCAGGCCTCTGGGTTTGTAGCTGGGCTTCGCCCTCTGCTGACAGACACCGCAGCGCGGCTGCTTCCGCGATTCAAATAAATCACCCTCTGCTCTGGGTGCCTTTGGCTCCCAACTCCCTGGTGAAGCAGACACAGGAAGGAGAAAGATCAGAGTCACTGTGCAGAGTGTTAATTGTTGGGAACATCAATCTCTCCACAGGCTCTACAGGAAGCAGGGGAAAGATAAAGGGCACGTAAATGATCACCCAGAAATGTTTGTTCAGAGTTGGAGTGTGAGTCTGGACCCCCCCAAAAAAATCATTAAGAGTAATGAGCCATGTTGACTATAGGTACAAATCTTGAGTATATGCTGTTTCCTGTGCTTGGTTTGCAAGAAACTCTGGGGATAAAGAGTGGCCAGGAATAACTCATGCCAGTTGTCTTTTTGGCTTTTGCAAATTCATCACTAAGAGTTTCCCTACAACAGATGAGTTGAAAGCTTGATTATTCTATGGGCATGGAGGGGTGGAGTGCAGAGATGGATTCTTTTTTTCAGGGTTTTTTTCCCCTGATCACAAGTTTAATGTTAGCATGAAACTAGGATTGTATTTACTTTACATTCCAACCAGGAACAGTATGCCTCTTTTTCCATTCCTCAAGGATCACAGAAGCATTTCCCAAGGATATTTTTCACTCGCCTTGATGTGACGGGCCCAGGCTTAGGAGAATTGGCAGCAGAGGAGCTCTCTGTCATCAGTGAGGTCATTACCTCTGCCAAGAGTGCTTGAGGAAACTATAGGAACTTCTATAGGCAATTACACCAAAAATCAGTTTTGTATCTTCTGTAACAGTGTAGTTAAAATAACGACAGTATCATACTATATTTTCTATTTAAGTAGGGCTATGTATGTTGTCCCCAAGACACGAGAAAAATCTCTCACCAGCATGGCTGCACACCACCAAAACCAGCAACAGCCAGGAATACTGGTGAATTCTGTGCACTTGTTTGTTTCCCCCATCCAGGCTCATGGAATTAAACGTCAAACTACAGATATTAATGCAGAGGGATTAACTTCTGGAAAAGGAGCATGGAAGAAAAATACAGGACCAGGAAAAATCTATTGTTTTATAGCACTATCATTAGCTAAATGACAAGCAAAACAATACTCAACATTTTCAAGAGGTTGTTCATGAAAGGAAATTATATTCCCTTATGTATGACTGAGGCAACCCTTACTGCAGCTTCCATTGCATATTCATACTCATTTTCTTACCTCACCTTCCTCCTCCCTTACCTCACCTTCCTCTTCCCTAGTCCTACACGTGTCTTTATAGTGATTTCCCACAGGGAGCTGGACAATAACATCCATTAAAGCATTTCTACAATCTGGTTCCAGAAAACAGTGTTGTCTCAATAAAATTTTTATACCAGGATGATGTAACTTCGTTTCAACTGATTTCCTTTGGATCCACAGCTAAAAGAGTAAATCAATGTAAATTCTGAATGGATGCCAGCCTGCAAATGTTAAGGATTTCTCCAGAACATTCTGAGGTCACATTTTTAATAATTTAAAATATATTGTGAGGTTTTTTCCCCATACCGTGAGTATACAGACAAACTCCAGTTTTGTATCAAGACTGAATACATGTGTTTGGATCTGTTTTTTTCTATCAGTTTCTCAAAAAAGAATATGAATTTAAAGCATAGGTGGCTTACACACTCTTGCACACCCATCCCCTCTCCCTTTCCATCAGCCAGCTGGTTTGAATGCCTGCCAACACTGCCCAGCTCTAGCAATAGCTCTTTTGGCCTGTGGTTTAAATACAAGCTTTAATTAACAGAGACTTAAGAGAAGTGGAAGAAAGTTAAAACATTAAATGCCTGTATCTTTACACACACGCTGATGTCTCCCAAAAAGACCCAAAGCCATTGCAAAACTGCTAGGAAACAAGCCTCTTTAAATATTATCAACAGATCTTTTGTTATAGCTCAGAATTACTGCTTTTGAGAGAGAAGGGAGAGAAATACCATCAAATCCCTTAATACATTTCATTTCATACACAGCAAGAACAAATTTCTAGTGGGCCCTTCCCCAACACATTTACCCTGTAAAGAGATCGATGTGTAAAGCAAAACCATGCTGTTGAGAAATCATTTTTCACTCACCCTTTGGCCAGTGTTGCTATGCCAACGTCAGTTAACTTCATTCCTACACCTACAAGGCACCAAGGAAACAGAGAGCTTACGTTACAGCAGAATTTCTAGGAATATCTTCAGATTCAAGAGCACCATATATAGAGGCATTAACTATTATTTATTTATTCATGGGTTTAATTTTAATTATTTGTCACCATTTTTTTCAAATCATTTTCAAGTACCCCAATTAAAAATAGGATGTTTGTGGTCTGTACCATTAATGTCTTTCCATTCCCGAGGGTAACACACACACACACAAATAAACACAGTGCACTTAAATGAGGCCAGAAAATAAAACATCCCAACTCTCTCTCCTATCTTTTATTGTGATGTGCATGAGATGCTGTATAAAACATCCCAGGGCACCGCCTGCACCCAGAGAAAACTCTGCCCATTACCTGGTGTGGAAGGAGCACACCCGATGTTGCCAAGGGGACACAGAAGGCCAAGAATAAGAGTGCTCAGAAATGAGTCTATGGACGTTCTGCAGTTGTGGGGATGACCATGAGTGGCCACCTGCCGGTGTGCCGGGAAAGCCACTCTATCGCCCTGCTCAGAGAACTCACCCTGCAGGTCAGTGACAAGCAAGCTCCCATTGGTCTTCTCATACACCCAATGCTGGAAGGTGCAACACTTCTGCCCGGCCTCCGAGTCCCTTCTCAGGAAATTCACCTCCTTCCCATCCCTGACAGAGTACTTCACAAACTCCCCAACCAGCTCCTCCTCCACGGTCGCATAGGGGATGTTATTAGCAGGGCGATGAACAAGGAAAATAGGAATGATCCTGAAATCAAGGGATAAGAACTAATAAAACCCAGAGAACTTGTCAACGAAGGAGCAAGAAACAGACAAAGTGGCAAGCAATCCCAGAGAGTGAATGAACAGCCCAAGCCCTGTGTACGTGGATGATTTCTCAGACTAGACTCTATTTATCTTTTAAGATGTTGCAGGGAATATATCCTCTTTTAAATACAAGTTTGGTCTCACCCAGGCTGACTTGAGAAAGGAATCTAGCCTTAAAATTTTGAAATTAAAAAGCAAACTAAAAGCAGATGTACATTATGTCTTTTTGCTCCTATCTGCTGTCTTCCAGCCAATTGTTCAGAATAAAGCACCAGATCTGAACCTTCCATGTGCCCTCTGTTTGCGCCAGACTTCGAGTGTCTGCAGGGTCCATGCTCTCTCTCATATCAAACTAGAGGTTATATCCTGTGCCCAGAGAAATCTCTCCAACACAAATTTTACCAAGAGCAATATACTTCCAGAAAAGCAGCTCACTTGCACAAATATTTCCGCTAAAAGATTTCACTGCCGTCTCCATCACTGTTTCTAATCCTGAAAAGGTGGCTTTAAGGAATCACTCCAGAGGCTGTGCTTTAAGTGGCCCTTTTTTTCAGGGAATTGGTGCAGCTGAGCAGATCTCATGTCACCTAAACTGAGGTGGAGATTTAGCTGCTGGCAAGCACGCAGGTCTTATCCTTGAAGCAAGGCAGATGGAATTTCAACCATCCATTGCAAATTCAACTCTGCACAGTAGCCTGACACTGGAACAGCAAATCCTTTGAAAAAGATCTATTACCAAATCCTCAAGGAGCCACTTCCCAACCTAAGAGGCAGAGGTGAACCTGTACTGAGCTACGGGGCTGATGTGCACATACTCGGGAAATGGAAAACTTCTCAAATGAAATAAACCAGTCCTTGGGAAAACCTAGAATCAGAGCTGAGCTTTCTGGTTTAAGCCTCTCTTTACATATGTAGGCATACGTGTGCATGTATATAAAAATATATATGTACTCACTCTGGTACTTCTCCAAAGCCTTCCAGGGGCTCAGCTTCAGCTGCATATATCTTCGCATACTCTCTTGCAGTATTTTGGACATAGCATTCCTGTATTACAAACAGATAGGCCTATGGAATATCACTCCAAACATTTAACAGATCACCTGTCTGTTGCACGACAGCTTCTCCCCACAGTGCCTGCTCACGAAGGGCAGGGAAGCTCACCTGCAGTGCCAGTTTGTAGTTCTTCTGGACTAGGTCGTCCTGACTATTGGTCCCATACATGATGGCATTGTGCACTTTGAGGACACAGGGGTGGCCAGGACCGAAGACCGGCACGAGGCCCTGCATCACCTTACTCCGGAAGGCTTTCCGGTGCATGCCTTCCCCAAAGTGAAGCTCTTCGGTGGCTATTATTCCATGCAGGTTCCCACCAAAATAGCTGTCACTGATGAAATCTTCTCGGAACATGAGCTGCATGAATTCAATTTCTTCCACACCTAAAACACAACACCATGTTGTTCTGCACAACATCCTTCCGCAGTCACAGGGAGAGGGGTGGGCATGGGACAGCAAAGGCATCTTTCCGTGGAGTAGTAAAGAAAATGCTCAAAGGAAACAGAGTACGTGGCCTCACTTGTGTCAATATGGGGTTGGGACAAGGCTTGGGACCTCTAACGTCTAAAGCCATGGAGAAAGCGGCAGATCAGGTTCATAAGGAGAGAATACAGAGTGTAGCACACACAAAAAACAGAGGTAAAGATCACAAAAGCTAATAGTTTTTTTTTTAAAAAAAAAACCTATTAGGGGAGCTGTAAACTGGAGCCTCAAATGAATGTGAAGTCAATCAAGCTGACTGAGAACTAAAGCAGCATCAAGGTAATACAGAGATCCCGCCAACTCTGTTTTTTGGGGAGCCAGAGACAGTAACACAGCGAATGTGCAGCAATGTAGATAGGAATTTAGAAGTAGAGCACAGCTCTAGCAGAACACATTCTCCTGAAGCCAGCCTGTCTTGTCAGAAAAGTCAGAATTTGCTGGTACAACCAGAGCTTGTTTTAGATTTCAGCTTGGCATCTTTTCAGGGAAGGACTGTGCCAACATGCTCAGAGAGGCACGCTGCCGAAAGAGACCTCAGCCCTTATCCATGGAAACACACCTCTCCCCGTACCAACCACATTCCCTACAGCAGCTCCAGAGCTCCAGACAGGCATGTTAAATAAAGTTTGTTTATTGCCAGAATTAGAAGGCTGCTTAACTCCACCTTAAATTCTCTGATGGTTATACATCACTGTTACATGAAAAGTCCTGTCTTTATTTTAACAAGGAACTACATGTTTACTTTTATTCTTCTAGAAAAAGAAGGAGAAATCAATTGGCTGAATGAAGTACCTGATTAGTACAGTGTGTTCAGTGATGATAAACCAATTTGCAATGCACTATCTTTAGCTGCAGCACAGCAAGACATATGCTGGGTGATTAACCGCAAGTTAACATATGGGGAAAGCATTCCAAATCCTCCTGCCCCTCTTTCTCTCGGAGTGAAATGCAAAGCCCATGTGTTCAAACACCACTGGCAAGTTTTTCTGCCAGGAGAGCTCTGGGCGCTCTGTGTGTGTCTGTAGGACACAATGCAATGTGGTTTCACTGTGTGAAACACCACTGTGTCCCGCTAACGAGAAGTTACAGAGTCAAGTGCTTGTCACAGCGGGCACTCCATCACCCTGCACAAACAAAACAAACAAAATCCCATCCTACATGAGTTTCCCAAGGGAAAACTGTCAAAATGTCTCAGTCCGATCTATTTTTCCATCCTTCGTTCTATTTGGAAACCAGAAGGAACAAAGATTGGAGCAAATATTAAAGAAGATGTGTGTACTGACCTTCCCAGTTCTGAAAACTCGAGAGATGTTCCAATACTACAAGGAAATAAAGAAACAGATTTTGTAGTAAAAAAAACATGAATGGAAACTCCCACTGTTATTATTATTAATCAAAATTATAAACTGGGATTTACCTTCAGAGGTCAGATTGAACTCAGCAGTCACTTTTCCATACACGTTATTCAAGCAGCAGTAATACATTCCCTGGTCTTTGCTACTGGCTTTAGCTATTGCCAAAGAGACGGGAGAGTCATCCTGGGCACTGTAACAGAATATGTTAATTTTCCACATTAATACTTTTAAGATATCTTTCCTGATTATTCCACTATTCCTCATTCTGTTCCTGGAATTTCTGTCCCTCACTGTAAAGGCTGATTCAAACATGATGCAAGTAGACACAAGTAAAATATTTCATTTCACTGGACTTAGAAGCATTCAGCCTGTTATGTGTTTCACAACAGATGACCCTACTGCACTCTGAGAGAACAGGACCTCAATCAAATCCAAAAATAATTAAATCACACAGAAAGACATTCTAATATTCCTGTCAATATCATGGCCAAAATATAAAGTATGGATATTTCAAAGCCCAAAATGTTGAGTGCTGTCCTTCAATATTGACCCCTTACTCAGCTTTCTCTGCTCCTTTGCTTTCCCAAGGCAGGTGTGTGCCCCTCCACAAACAGCTCGAGGGCAGAGGGTATTCGCAGGGGTGCAGTGACACCAGTGCAGCTCCAGCACTCGCAGACCCCAGCTGGCTCTGGAAACAGCAAACTACACCCAAACAGCGTTGTGCCAGATTGAACAGTCCTCTTAGATCATGAGGGTTTCCACATGAAACCACAGTGGGTGTCCATCAGAAGTCTTTATCAGCAAACCAGATAATCTCTGCGGGGGTGATGGACACCTGGCTATTGTGTTTTAAAGCTTTTGTGAAGTTAATTAGTGAAGGTGTGGACTTTTTTGTTGGCAACATGAAATTTCATGATATTTTGGCACACTGGAGAACTGTCTTTATCCAACAACAGTTTTTAAATTAAATCACTTAGCATAAGTAACAGTTTTAAACTGGAAGAAGGGAGATTTAGATGAGCTATTGGGAAGAACTTCTTTGCTGTGAGGGTGGTGAGAGCCTGGCCCAGGTTGCCCAGAGAAGCTGTGGCTGCCCCATCCCTGGAGGGGTTCAAGGCCAGGTTGGAGGGGGCTTGGAGCAACCTGGTCTGATGGGAGGTGTCCCTGCCCAGGGCAGGGGGTGGCACTGGATGGTCTTTGAAGATTCCTTCCAACCATCTTCAACCAGATCTGGCTCTCAACCTGTACACTCCCCTGGGCTGTACCGATGCTGCGGAACAACCACGGTAAGCTGGACACTGCCTGTGAGTTGTTCCAGCAGTTCTCTCCCTTCACACCAGGCCAGGCAGCCTCCCACGTAAACCCAGGGTGTTTATGTCGCTTGGCTGGGTGCTGAGGCTCAAACTTCAGCTGATCTTTTACAGTAGGGGGAAGTTGGATGAGACTGGTTACGGACAGGCTGGGAGGCATTACTGGTGATGGAATGCAAACTATGGCCGGTAGTAACGCACTGTGTGAAGATATGCTTCTTAATTACCCTGTTTAAACTTACTTTTTGAACCTATTACACTAATCCTCTTTATGGGTACGAGAGCGACTCACTGGCATATTTCCCCAAAAGCTATTTAGAAACTACCAGTCCTTCAGAAACGTCCACTCACCTTCTCTGCAGTTGAGCCAGTAACTTGGAATCTTTAGTCCATGTGATGATGGAGTCACCATGAATGTCCCCAAATTGACAGCACAGCTTAATATTTCCAGAGCAGTCAGGGAACAGCTCTGCTTGGATCTTCTTCAGCAGCTTGGGAGCTTGAAAGAGAAGAGCCACAACTCAGAAGATAATTATACTGTTTTGGCATTTTAAAGGAATTCCAGAATGATTTGCAGATGTTAAAGAATACGAATCTGATAACACTGGTAAATAATTATGATTTCTTGTGATGCAGAAACCAAGGCTTTAAAATATGGAGGTTTTAAAAGACTGACTCAGTGCCCCACACAGTCAGTGGAAACATTTTCAATGCAAAGACATTTTGAACTTATGGAACAGAACCCAAGGGATGTTCTAGCCTGAAAAGGCATCGACATAAAATAACGTACTAATGAAAATACATTCTCTGTGCTTAAATCACCAGCTGGCTTTATCAGTAAAAAGAGACATCACAAAGGTACAGCACACCATATGGTTACACAATGGGAATTCATATTAACTGAATACTTGTAACCAGCAGATTTTTTTAACTGATCACAGCCTCTGAGAGAAAGACTGTAAGTCCAGGAGATGCTCCAAAGTGTTCTTGGAAACTACCTAGAATACACTGCCAGGATGAAACTCTGCAAGATGCAGCGATGGCACCATTTCCTTTAAACCACTGCTAGAGGGAGCAACCCACACATAGCGGTCAGATTTGGAAATATCAGCACCTTTTGCTTCCCTCTCCAGTTTCAAAGGACTAATTTCCTGTCTCTAGACAAAAGTCCCCACCTTCCCAGCCCCAGGGCACGGCTATTTGCTAAACCTCGACCATCACACAGAAGAAATCCCAGAGTCACTCAGGTCATGGAATGAGAGGGCTCTGCTCAGCCTGGGGCAGGTCCCGACAACCTGCTCTCTGCTCAGACCTGTTTACAGGCCCACAGAATGCTCCAGCACCTCCTGCACGGGGGCACAGCCTGAGCAGGAGGATGGAGGGCACTTGGAAAGAAAGGGAATCAACATATACGTAGGGAAAGGTTTTGGGACTGTGACACATCCCTGCACTTAAGTGAGACATCCCTGCTGGATGTAAGGGATGTACAATGCAAGGTGTTCTGTTTCCTACTAGGTTGATTCTGTGCTGCTGCACTCAGAATGAGCTGGCAGGACCCAAATCCCCCAGGGATCCTATTCCAGCAGTCTGACTTTCCCCACCTAATGCCAGATCCAACTCGAAGGGTCAGGCACCTGGAATTCACTGCTATGTTTAACTTGTAGGCACTTAAGTCCTTAGGCCTAAGAATCTTGCTGAATCAGGGCTACAGTGACACAGACAGTATGTGACAAAACCGTAAATAGAACCAAGGGCTCCAGGTTCCCTGCCCGAACGAAAGAGTCCCTCCTGAAGCTGAAAATAATACAAAAGAGAACACTGGGAATAAACCAGACTAACCAAACCAACCTTCCCATAGCACTGGGCAAAGGGCCACACAACAAAGCACAAACACACTCACTTCAGTCTAGATCGAAGCAGATTACAAGCAGGTTAAGAAAATTCAGTCTTATCTGATTCAAGCCTGAACGTTTAAAACATTTTTCAACCATAGCCTCAGGTACATGGGCAAAGACCAGGGATTTCTCAGGAATTAACAGTTTGCTTGCTCTGCTTTGAAGGAACGTGTCTCTCCTCCCACACATCGGGTTCTCTGGCAAAAGACACATGTTCAAACAGAGAAAAGTTTGGGGTTTTTCAAAGGTGATTGGAAAAGCAGAACACTCACCAGACCGCACTGTAACTACAGTCTCTGAAGAGCTTCATACTAGTGTAGCTTACCTTTAGTCACTGTTCAGTCTTGCTCTGATCTATTACATTATTTTATGATGTGAACATGAAACGTAATGTCAGAAGGTAAAAATAAGACCTTGGTCCTTGCAAAGTGTCCATAGGAACCACAAATACCTCATCACTCTGGCTGTTACACTATTGCTACTCCTCTCTGCAGTTGGTTTTACCTGTTAGGAACCACCTAGAGACTGACAGCAACCTCATCCCATTTCAGTTCTCTCTCTCAATGGCAGTTTAACATCGCTAATTTCAGTGTCATTGATGACCAGCAGTTGTGAAAAGGAACACAGAACCAGCCATCACTCATCAGACAGGACTGCAAAGCATGATGTTTAACAGTGGCACCCTACTAATAACAACGATGCTTTACCAGTCATAAAACCATTTGGTAACCCAATTGCATTTGCAGAAGCATAACTGGGACCAGAGCCCAGCAGGAACAGGACACCGTGCAAGTGCTGGGCCCACAGTTACTCTACTGTGTGCAGTTCTGTGCTGCCATTAGGCCACAAATCCCTGGGAAGTTCCTTCAAGAGACAAATGGAGAAGTAACAATTTCAAACAGGTTAAAAAGCTCATAAATTATATACATTTGCCAGCTAGGCAAAGGGTGTTAGGGAGGGTTCAGCTCCGTGCCACAGGCACAGCACCAGTTCCTAAGTTCACAGAATGGGAAATCGAAGTCAGTGAGGGCAGGACACCTTTAGCTGACGTGATTCAGGCTAAAGGATGTTTGCAGTGTCTTTCACGGATTTGAATTTCATACTATAGCCAGATTGGTGGGAAAGGACAGAAATGAAAATTAGCTTTCACTTACCCTTGCTATCCTTTTTCAAAATGACTTTCCTTTGCTCTTTTCTGTCTTCTTTATGTATCACGCCCACCTCACTCTTCACAGAGGTTTTCCCACTGTGGGCATCCTGCCTGGCACTGCCACCCTCCTCCAGGCGGGGCTTTTTTGACAGCATTGCTGGTGGCAATTTCTTCTTAGCTCCCGGAGCAAAAAGCCCACTTTTTGCTGTGCCTTGTTTACACTTGCTGGGGTCAGGCTCAGCAGCGGTTGGTGATGGCTGGTAGGATTCTGACCCTTTCTGATTTCTCAGCCTCTCCGCGCTGACTGGAAAGGGACCGTGTGTGGCCAACGCTAAGGAGAATGGCTGAGTTCTGCTGCAGGGTGGCTGCTCTTGAAAATACTGCTTGTTCCCTGAGCCAACTGCTGGCAAATTAACTAAACCATTTACTACACTCTCTGATGTAACGACTTCTTCGTCTTTATCATACTCCGTAGACTTCATTGAGTTACCAGCCTCAGCCAGCTTGCTGGAAGACAGAAAGTCAGGACAGGATTGCTCAGTGCTAATATTCATCTGTCTCTGAGCTTCGGAGCTAATTAAAACGTGCAAAGGAGGCTTTGTTTCAGTTTCATCTGGATTATATTCAGTAGCTCTTTGAATCTCTTGTTTATTTGCACACAGAATTGCTTCTTCCTTGTCTTCTTCGGGTACCCTATGGAACTGACCCTGCAATGCTTTACACAAAGTTTCCAGTGTACTCACATTTCCATCTCCTTTGAGGGCAGTTTGTGTGGATTCAGTCTTAACCTGACTTCCTGTGCCAGGACAGCCCGCTGCTGATGTACTGGTGAGAAGGCCCTCTGACTGGTGTTCTGGTGTGAAGAACAGTAATGGTTCTTCTACAGCCCACTGCTGGACATCAAAGTGGTCACTGGTATCTTTACAGTCCTCACTTGCTGCGCTGTGGTTCTCACTCAGAGCCTTTCTAGGCAGTGGGGTATGAACTGGTGTTACGCTTCCAGATGCACATGTGTGATGTTCTGAAGAATCTGGTTTTAACTCTTCACCAGACTTAAAGGTGCTGTCAATAAAAACTACGTGCTGTTCTGATGTGTTTTGAGGGGAAACTGCAGGCTGACTCTCTGAAACATGAGTAACTTCTGAGTCAGGGGAAGTTCCAGACCCTTGTGCATCACCTCTGCATGTCTCTCTCTGCTCTTCTCCTGCTTGACGTGGTTCGTACCCGAGCTCTTCTACAGAGAAATCTCTTACAAATGGATCCTCCCAAGAGGGAGTGAATGCCACTTCTTGTTTTTCTGTTTCTGTTTGTTGGCCCGTATTTTGGAGTAGATTATCTGTTATGGTTTCGGGAGTCTTACTTAAATCAGGCCATTGTATTAGGTGACCACATTTCTGTGCATTAGAAACAACCTGTGAAACTTGACAGTCATTATTTTTTGAAAGATGGTAACTGTCAGAATTAAGGTAGTTTTGTGCATTCAAGTCGGAGTGATTTCCTTTTTCTTGGAAATTCTCTTCACAACTTTTATGTATGGTGTTTATAGAAGAGTGTTCTTCATGTGGAAACTGATTGATATTTTCACTGGGGAAAATGTCTTTCTCTTCAGGGAAATCAGCCAGTTCTTCTCTTGCTGGATAACAGTCTCTAAAAACATACCCTTTACCAGGTACAGACTCGTTTATCAAGAGTACGTTGTGCTCTGTATGAAGTAATTGCCCAACTGTCCCGTGTGACTTATCTGACAGGTAAATGGGGTTTTCTTTGTCACATGCTAAACTCCTGCTCTGAGCATGTTTAAATCTCTGCGGAGAATCCGCATCTCCTGTTTGTGAAGCATCATTAACAGCACCCTTTCCTTCCCAAGCAACCGCTGTCTGAATGGATCCGGCGCGGTCGGTCAGTGTTGGATTCGGCTTCTGCTCCAAGCGCTCCCCTGGATTTAAGATGTTACTATTTGATGAAACACAAATGGATGGTGTTTCCGTTTTATTTCCAGTACTGGGATCCAGACACACACCATCTGTTTCCACCACTTGTGCGAGACAAGCGTTTCCCAAGGATGCAGTGTTACACGCTTCATCTGCTTTAAGAAGGGTACTAGGAACACCGTGGTCTTCTCCCTCTGCCCCTTGCCTACCCGCTGGCGGTGTGACGGGCTCCTGCCCCTCCGTCACAGCTACTGGCCAAGGATGAGCAGAACAGCTCTCCTGTACAGAGTTCAGCTCTGTGACTTCGATACCCCTCGGCCTCATTTCCAAACTTGTGATCCCCCGGTTTTCAAAGGGGATTTGATATTCTGAGTCATCTTCATGGAGAAGTTTCCACAGCTTGTCATGCACTGCAGATATATCAGCGTCTCCTTTGCACCCAGGTTCTCTAGATTCCAGGACTGACTCGGGATTAGCTTGAGGCAGAGATTCCTCACATGAGAGACGAGAGAGATTTGTGTTGTTGCTGTTGTGTGAGTCACAGCTGTAGCTCTGCTCTGCCTCCCCTGGCTCATCGCAGAGTCGTGCGGAGGAGAGAACAGCACATAAAGATTCCTGTTTATCAGGAACGGAGTGCGTGTCCCATAAAGGGGAAGGTGAAACGTCATTCTCTGATTTGTTGCCATCACTCGTAATCTTAATTCCTTGTTCACAGAAGACTTGTTGGTGACAACTTTCTCTCGTATCGCAAGGCGTAAGGTTTTGAGAATAACTCTGTAAATTTGCATTTTTTGCCTGTAATGTCTGTTCAGTACAGAGCATTTCTGAAGCTGGAGGGATGGTTCCTGCATTCTCCCAAGTCATGCATATGCCATCTTTTTCCATTTCAGGCTCCAGACATAGTCTCTCACAATTCTGGGGAAAGATTTCAAGAGCAGCACCTTCATTCTACAAAGAAGAAAAAAAGACAAACATTTAAGGATTAGAATTGCTGCTTTATACAAGTCTGAACTAGAGTCCTGCCTTGAGATGTACCTAACTTTTTATTTTCTATTTTTTTTTAAGTATTTGTCAACTGTGAAGTTTCTGACTTATAGCTATCAACCTAATGGACTGAAATCCAACTCCTGGATCTTACAGCCTTGATCCCTGGTAAGTTTCAGATCTGTAACTGACACAGTCCAGCTAGTTAAAACCAGGTAAAATAAAAGAAAATAACCAAACCAAAACAGTCATGTCTATGCCTTCTGCTGACAGCCAGAATGTCCCCCATCCTTATGCAATTACTACATAATCCAAACCATTGAGTTTCTGGAACTACCCAGACTAGATTTTCAGGAGCTTGCCTTCCCCTTTGCTTCCACCACAGGCCTTGTTCTTTCAGTTTTCCCAAAGATGCTTTGTCAGTACGTATCAGTCTAGAGAAGTCTCAGAGAACGCTGCCCACACCTGCCCTGCTGTGTGCTTCAGTGAGACTGCGACCAAAAACCAAACACTTCCGGGTAAGTTTTAAGCCATCTTCAAAATTTGTCGTTGGTCACCTGGGCCCTTGAGGTGACAAGTCCCACTTCAGAAGGGAGCACCAGAGATCACTCCAGATCCTGCCTCTGCCCACACTCAGTGTAAGGCACTTTCAGCCCTCCTCCAGCACTGCAGTCTTAGGGGTACTGCTAGGGAAACTGGGGCCAGAGATGAAAATCCAGATCCCTCCTGCAGCTCTTTTATTCTTCTATGGGTAAATATCCCAAATTGTCACTTTATGTAAAAACAATCCATTCTTCAATTGAACTAAGCCAAACTGAACTTAATTTATGCAAGGAGCACAGACCTTATTAAAGAGAACAACTGGCTGATGTTTGGGCTCGCATGGGATGGAGACAGTGGCACACAAAATCTGTCCAACTGTTCACCATTGCCCTCAGAACTGAGCTTTCACACTTAAATGCTTGTCCTGGAGTCCCTGCAAAGCTCTTTTCTCCAGGATTTTCTCTGGTCCTCTTCAGCACTAAATCAGTTCCAAGGAGGAGATGAGCATGTTTCACTCAGAGCAATCACAGAAGGAGAAGCCTACAATTTTTTACTAGACAAAAATACATTGTTTCCTAAATGAATGATGCTTTAAGCATTCAGTTACCATTCATTTGCCAGGACAATCTGTAGAAGCAGAGAGCGATTTCACAGTCAAACTTTGAAAAAAATATTAACTTTCAACTAGCCATTAACAGGTTATAACAACATGGATCTCATGAATTAGTTTATTTGACCGTGTATCTTTGTAGTGGTTGTCTGAAGCTTTGCAACTACTCCCAGCAGAAATGAGAAAATGCTAAAAACCATCAGACTGAATTTAAAAAACACCAATATTTGTAGATATTTTTAATTTTTTAGCTTTTATCCAGCCACAAACTCAACTTCATAACAGTTTTGGGTTTTCTTTTTTCCCCATGTGACTCCCAGTTCCATAGTTATGTGTTAACTTCTAATGATATGCTGGATGGCTGAAGTTAATGACTGTGACCCGTAACGGGTGAGCCCTCTGGGTTACAGCAGGGCTGGACACGAGCAGTGAGCGCTGGCACGCACATTACTGAGAGAGGCCATTCTGAAAAGATGCAAGTGTTGTTAATTAGTGAAGGATATGTAATGAAGGGTTTCCCGTGAGCTGCTGTGTGCTCAGGAAAAGGCCGGGACTGCTCAGACACTCAGTTCCCAGTTTCCATAAGTGCATGGTAAAAGGATTACCGGCTGTAGTAAATATTGCTGCAAAAGCCACCCACTTCAGCTGCCATTCCTTGCATCCTCTCTGTTTCTCCATTCAGCTTGAGTAGATGTGGAGCTGACTACAAGCTGTGGACAACGGGGAAGGAAGAGATATAGAAAATGTTTGTCAATGACTTTAGCTGCTGTTCACACCCCAACACCACGCAGTTGCCACCACACTGTCCTTCAAAACTCCTTGGCCAGTGTGTACTTACCAAGAACCCTGAGCCGAGGAACCTCAGCACCTCAGCTGCGGTCCTCTCTGACTCCCAGCACCCTGGGCTCATGTTCAAGCCTGCCCTGCAGGAGAAGATGCTGGTCTCTAGGCCTTTTGAGTTTAAAGAACACCATCTCTCAAGTCAAGGGGGTGTGAGCCTGGACGTGTCTCTACAGTCAGGTCCAGTACTCTGTTGTTCCAAGCATTTAGTCTCAGCCTAGTGCTCCTTCTGCCATGGCCACTTCCCCCTCAAACCTATGGAAAGCAGAGCTGATTTTCCTGTTCCTTACAGCCACAGCAGCCTCAGGCACAGCTTTTGCTAGAACCTGTGGAATTCTTGCTATATCTGTTAAGCATATAATTGGTCAGTCCCTACCTGCTGCTGGTGTGAAACTCAGAACAGACAGCTCTCTCATACCCCCTGCACCCTGCAGTTCAGGAGTGACACCAGTGCCTTGTGCTGAGGGTGGTGGCTGAGCCCTGAACAGAGAGCAGCTCTGGAACGACATGCTCCCAGCTTGAGCCTCCTGGCTCTCTGTACAGCATGTAATCCCATACAGCTGGCACAGCTAGCTTCTAGGACCTATTATTAATTAATTTGCTTTGAAGCATTAGATAAATAAAGAATTTCACCTGGGGCTAGACCATGAGGTCAGGAGAGAAATCAGGAGCCTGCCACCTTGACTGTCTAATGGAAGGAGAAGTCACCCAGAAGAGCAGTTGCTGCACAGACAGACAGCAAAGGTTGTCCCAGCCAGAGGCAGCTTGGCACGAAGGGGAAGTGTAAATCCCTGGGTAATTAGTGCTTTGCTCTGTGGCTGCCATGTCCCTCTCACGGACCTGATTCACCACATGGAGAGGGAAAATGCAATGCCCTCCAAAGGCTCCAAAGCTGTGGGTTTTGCAATGAGCCCCTCACCTTGGTTCTGGCAGAGCTGTCTCAAAGGCCAGGCTCCAGCTGATACCAGGGGGCACTTTCACACCAACCTGTGCGCAGCAGTGGGAGGCTGACTCTCTCCTGCCTGTCTTAGGTTACACAGGCAGATTCCTGAGCAGTTTCTGGCTCGCTATTTAGGAGCTGTGAGAAGCTGCCCACACTCTCCTTGTGTGAGAAAGAGTAGTTTCCAGATGGAATGCTTTTGTTTGGCTCATTTTCAAGGCCACATAATTTTGAACCTACACCTAAATTTCACCTTCATTCATGCATGTTTAAAACCAGGGGTTTGGTTCACGCTCATCTCTAGCTCTTTTGTGTACCCCAATACTTCCCTCCTACTTCATTTTTACCTAATGTAAAGTTTTAGTCACAAAGCGAAGCAGCACATGGTGCCTGCAGGTAGCAAGCGACTAACCAGCCCATCTGGAATCCGGCCACGGCACTTACAGAACCCTAACAGCTGCTCTTTGAGAAGAGGGTTCCTGGATTTAAGTTATTCTACTGCACTTGAAAAAATGAAAAAGAAAAATGCCTCTTGCAGACCATGGTAGTACTTGCTGTCAAGAAATTCTCAGTGGGTTAATTTCAAAAAGGGGTATATTCCTCATTATATGAACATCATGTGCTGGTAAAACGTGACTGGAATTTCATGTACTATAAAACCAGAGAAACCTATGGATGTTTTTCAGCCAGAAGAATTCATTGATTTTTGAGTGCCGAAGACACCCCAGCGGTGAGAAAGAGTCCATCTGCTACCCAGAACTGGAGACAATTTTACTTAAATAATATAGATGAAGAAAAGCATGTGGCACTGGAAAAAGCTTGTGTTTGTTTGTCATAAATGTTTTTACTCTGCAATTAGCTATGGACCTTCAAATCAGTGAAGTCAGTGAAAAGATGATTATTCATGATTTAATACCCATGTATATATCTTCAGTCTCTACTATGTGAAATAAAAAGTATGATCCGATTCTCCCACTTAGGAAAACTGGGAGAGCATCATATCGGTCTGTACAACCATACTGATTTCCCTACTTGATTTCCTACCAACAGCACAAAATATGCAAGTACACAGAGTACCATTTTGGGGGTTTTATTTTTAATTGTTTTTTACATTTCTACTGGACTACCTGACTCTTTCATTGTTTTATTTTTAAAAGCAAAGCTCCATTTACCTCCGTAACATGAACTCTCTGGATTAAACTCCCCTCCTTGTTATAAATTCAGAGAAAACCCCTGTTGATTTGTTTTAGATTTCCAGCACCATAAGCGGGTGACAATTTTGTTGAGTATAAACTGAAAAGAACATAAATCAAAACATTCTCCGCTCACAATAGGCATTTCAGAAACTCTCTAGGTTGAAAGATCCATTCCTTGGTAAGACCTGTGCAACAGCCCAGGTATCGGATTTCCCCACCCAGCTGTCCAGAGCCCCATTAGTGACTCTCACTATTGCCAGTCTCACTCTATAATTAGCACAGCTTATGGTTTATTTGAGCCTTTTTCAAAACCAGATTTCCTTCCCAGACGTAGCTGTCATTCAGAAGTACATGAATAGTACCTTCCAAAGTAATTTAAATTTTACATCATTTTGTGACAAATACGAACAAAAGGCATTCAAATCAGCAGAGCAGCTCTTTCCATTAAACGATAAAGACTTTACTTACCTTGAGTGAGACGTTTTCATTTGGCAGCTGATCCTGCTCAGCCAGGCCCGAAGTCCTTTTCCTCTCCCAGTGACAGTCTTTATCTGCCCCTTCTGCGTGACACAAGCCAGTCTGCATTCGCAGGCTCGCTGTCTCCTCGGGGAGCGGGGCTGAAAGGACACCTTCCTGCCTGGGACACAGAGCACTGGATTCCCTCACCTCCGCTGCAGCCTGGAAGGACTGCCCTATGTTACTGACATATCTGCACAGCTCTCTAGGGTTTAACAGCTTGAAAAGGTTTCTTCTCAGACTTTCTGTTAAGGTACAGACAGCGTGCCTCGCGCTTTCCTCTGGCAAGTTTCTTCCCGCCTCCTCCAGCAGCAAAGAGCCTTCATCCAGCAAGTCCTTGTCCGTCCTGGTTTCTGTCACCGACTCTGAAGCCTGATCTGTCACAGAAGCTCCTGTGCCACCAGCAGCAGAGTCTACCTCAGCACGTACGTTATCCTTGTTCTTTGATTTGTCAGCTGAGAAACCTGCAGCCGAGCGGGCACTTCCATTGTTTTCCTCTTCAGTCCCGTGACGGTCATTTTCAGTGGCTGCAGATGCAATGGGCACTTCATACTTCTCTTTGTCTTTCAAACTGGAACTTTTATCTCGGTGCTGTCCAAGGGTGAGAGTCATCTCTGCCTGCGGAGTTGACTGGCTGTACATAGAGGGGTCTCTTCTTACATTTACTCCTTTGAGTTTTGAGTGATGCCCACAGAAGCCAATGGTGGTATCCATAGGCGTAGTGTTATCTGACACTCGGAACAGACAAGGCATTTCACCGAGGAAGTAAGCACACCCATCACAATCCTTACTCAGTTTTAAATCATCTTCATCACCACTTTCTAATAAAAACCGTAATTTATTTTCCCATATTTCATTTTCATGCGCTGTCAGCACATCTGAACATTCAAAATACTCTAGGTCATCATCAGAAAAGTCATCACTTACACTTGGAATTTTCTCTGCATAACTGTCCAGAAGAGTGGCAGGATTTTCAGAATCATCCTTCACAAAACCACTGTGATGTATCAGGGGAGTATCTGCCTGCTCACTGAATACAGTATTCGTGTTTAGAGCTCTATCGAGCCCAGTGCTTTTACATGCCTGGACTTCTGCCAGAGACTGACCGGAGACAGACTCTTCCGTGCGAAGGCAGCAGTTGTCTGTGTGGTCAGCGATTACATCTGAAGGGCAGGAATCCACCCAGTCGCCACAGGATTGCTCTGCTCTCCCAGCACTGACACCCACCAAACTCTGAAAATTAACCACGTCAGCACCATTCTCTGAAAAATCCCTTAGGCAGGAAATATTTTCCCAAGTTTTAAATACGTTTTTTACATCCATGTTATCTTCCATGTTAGGAAAGTGTCTGTGGAATTTCTCACACAGGGACAATACTTCTGCTCTTCTGAGCTTCTTAAGCAGTAAATTGCTGACTTTTGAAGAGATAGAATCTGGTGAAATTAAAATGGGGTCATCCTCACAGGCGTAACCCTTGTGTTGTGCAAACTGTTTCTGGTTCTGCTCATTTCACCCGGAAGTTTCCCACACTGTCATTTTGGTTAGCGACAAATTCTGGGGAAGTTTTGCTTTTTATATCTGATTTCAGTTCTACTAAAGTTGAATGCCGGGTCATTCTAGCTGTCAAATTGCTTCCAGCTCCTGTCCAATAAGGCACAGATCTCGCTCTGGACACCTGCAAATAAAAGAAATCCAAAGTTTAAAATTACTTCTGAAATGGGTATATATATTTTCTAAAAAGTGGTCAATTGAGACATAGTTGCAAGCATTTAAAAAAAAAAAAAGAGAAATCATCATTTAAAAATCAAGATCAAACATTCAAGCAGTAAGTATACCCCAGCTCTCTGTGCAATGGCACTTACTGGAAACACACTGTAACTGTCTGGGGGGTTGTGGTAGCAAAAACCAACTCCTATACCTGCACATACACGTAGCAGCACAAAATAGGCTTAAGCACACATCATTTAGGCATTTCTCAATACAAACAGTAACCTGCAAACAATGTCCATTTCCACAGGCGCATGATTTCTACAGGTACCAGGTACCTGCTACTTTGGTAGTCACATGGGCACAACAGTGGGCCATTCCTTGAGTTGGCATCATAGGGACGTAAGCTCCAAAATTTGTTTGTAGAAATACCTGGAACAATGAGTCTGGTCAGATTTTATAGTTTAGTACAGTTTATAGATTTATATGGCTATTTCTGTTTGAAGCAATTCTGTTGTACGTTGGCTTGATGTTTGTGATTTGTGTGGTGAGAGAACAATGAAATGAGGCTGGTTAGCTTCAAAAGAACCTTGTTTCCTAAGCATCCCTGAATGTTAGGATTTCAGATAGTTGAGATGTTTTTGCAAGCTCCTGGGAGGCACCCTGGGTCACTCCTCACCCCAGAGCACCCATGCTGATCCCAGCAGGACTGCTTCTCCATCCAGGGATCCACTGTCAGGGAAAGCAGAGTGGCACAACTAAGTCTCACGTAAATGTGATCTCATGAAAGAAACCAGACTAAAAGCTCTGAAAAAAAGCGTGACATGAAGAACAGCAGGAAAAGTTTCTTGCCATCTGCTAATCTGACAAAGCAACCTAAAGGCATTTCCATTCATTCTCCTTTTTTCTCTCTCTGCTTCTCCCATCATGACCCTTCCCAGGTCCTGCCTCTCCCCTGGCTGTAGGATCTCCAGGCACTCGCCCACAAGCACAGCAGCCTTTCCCAGGGCCCGTCCTGGAATTCCGTTGCTCCATCTGCTCTTTGCAAGGCCACCAGTGAAGCAGTCACCGGGCCTGTCAGCACCCAACTTGACACTGATCAAAGGCAGTTAGGAAGAAAATATGTGAGAGCCAGATTAGAGCTTAATGACTAAATAGCAAGGGGCTTGCATGGCTTGCTTGGAATCTGGCTCTCATGTAAAGAGCATAAAGCAGCTAGAGATATCTTCATTTCCTTTGGACAAACCCTGCCACAGACACCTTTTCCACAGAGTTACCTGGGAGGCAAAAGCAGGAAGAGGAGATGGTTAGTGGGAAGGATACTCAAAGGGACAGCATTAGGCTCTGTAACAGAGAGCAGAGGAACAACAGCTATGGGGCAACCAGAGCAGCACCCTCTCCCAGCACACAACATACATGTGTGCTGTACACACATGTGTATGTGCCTACCGACCACACATGCTCAGTCTCACCAGTTGGGCTTGTGGGTGAGGAGCTGCAGCAGCCTTGCTGTAAGGCTGAGGGCTTCAGGACCTCCCAGCGGGCAACCAGGTCAGCACAGGGGCTCTGGAGTGCATGAAGGGAGGAGAAAGAGATATCAGTATTTGTGAGACAAGAAGAAGGGGTGGCAGGTAGCGAAAAGGCAGCAGAGAGGCAACACATTTTCTCAATTTAGCATTGGAATAACTTGGCAAAGGCCCAACATACAAGGAAGTAGATGCCAACAGGAAGGATGGTTTGAAGAGCAAGCCTGATATGCCACAAAGGTACTGTCAGCTCGGAGGTGTAGCTGGGAAGTTGCCAGAAGGTGACAAAACAGCTTTGTGGCAGGGCAAGCCAGCCTGGTCACGGCAGTGAGGCCAGAGATGCTTGGCAGCATGACACCAGAAGGGAAGCCCACACTGCTGCTGGCACACAGCAGGTTTCAGGTTATCCACGCAGCAGGTACGCAGCAGGAAACTGGTGCAGGTTCCTCACACTACCACCTTTGAGCCAGAGAAGCAGTCTCCTTCAAAATTGCTTGTAATACGGGCTTCCCTGCTGAAGATGGACAATTAGTGCATATTGTAGTGGTTTTAAGTAACAGGGACACCTGTTGACTGGCCCTGAGTCAATATTCTGCACTTGCTTCATGCAGGCCTTTGAACTACAATCTACACCGTGCCTGCAACAACAGCCTGGGAAAAAACAGGCATCAGATCCCATTATCTTCAGCCTTTCGGATCTCTGATCACATTTTGCTTTCCATTTCAACTATCAGAAATATAAATATTTAACCAAAAAAAAAACCGGAGCAGTACATGGCCATGGAATTACTCCCCAGCATTCACCCATCTCCTCCTCAATATCTATTTGCTTAATGCTCCCTGTTGCATTCTTTCAAATCTGCTTTCATCTTCACTTTTCAGTAGACAGATACCTCTTTCCTCTTTTTTGGAGGCTGTGATAAACGAAGGCTCTAAGAGAGGCTCTAGGTTATTTTAAAAGCATGGTAATTTTCCCAGCTGAAAAGAGACTTGGCAACATTTTTTTAATGCAGATTGACTGATGAATACTCCTTACTAAAGCAATTGAACTATACAGTTATCGTTATCTTAGTTCAGCTGCATTTTGACATCGAGGGGTAAAGAGCTGTCAGATTTCTCAATATGAAAATTAGATTAGATTGCTACGCATTTGGTCAGATCCAACAGTGGAAACTAAAGCCAAATCATTTTCCATGAGGAAAACTGCAATAACTGCTGGTTTTCCACTCAAGATAAAGGGACATTATTTTTTTAAATCTGGGGAGAAAATAGAAGATAAATAAAACCATAATTTCAATTATTAAATTTGGATAGAAAATAGAAAGAGAACTGTTAGCATAATAAACTCTGAGCTCCTCAGAAAACTTGTGACAGAAGGTACACAATGAAATTCACTGAGGAAAGATGATTGGGAGATCATGATAATTTACCATCAGCTGTTGAGTAGTAACCTGAAAATAAGCTCAATTGCTAATAAACTGGGGTTTGAACATTTGGTGCAGAGAAGATGAGAACGTTTAGATGTATAAGGGTGTTCTGGCTGTTTGTCTCAGGTCTTGCTCTGGAAACCAGTGATGTTACTTGGTGAATCACATACAAACTAATGACAGAGCCAGTGCAGCAGAGCCACAGAGGAGAAATTGACACCACCAGGTGTTAGCAGGTAATGGTAAGAAAGGTGGCTGTTTTGATTCTCTAATGATCTGGAAACATATTTTCCATTTCTTACTTATCAGAACAGTGGCCATTGCTGGAGAATTTTATGGTACCCCTTGAAGTGAATTAAACACACACTTGTGCTTAAATAAAAAATAAAAATATAAAAAAAGCACAATGCATTGGGTAGCCCTGACATAACCCTGGCCAGCACCCATCCTGTGAGCGGCTGCAGGGGCACCTCAGCCTGGCCCGGGGTCCATCCCCAGCCCAGCTCCACTGCCCAGAGGTGACCCCTGAGCCCTCACAGCACTCAAGGCTACAAGACAACAACCTGCCTGTTTCTTATCACCAAGGGAAACTTCACTCCCTTACAGGGAGCAGTTTGGTCTCTGGCATTCCTGCTCCCAGCCAGCTTAATCCCTTCTGCAGCTGGGCCTTCTTGCTCTCCATGATAGATCACTCCCCCGTCATGAATTACCACTCCTGACTAGCTACAATTTGAATTTCCCCTTCACCATCCCTGGACACCTTGGTTTCCCCTTCCTCCAGCTGTCACTCAGGTCTGTCCCTACGATGAAAACCATTTAGGGGGTGATGCTTCCTAAGCTTAATGCCCTGGGAAGTAAGGATAAGGGAAAATAAAGCTGGCAGCAGCATGAAAAGGGTAACCTGAGAACTGTGCCTGGATCTGATGTGGGAGAAATATAGGATTGATGAAAGCCTGGAATGGTCAGATCAACAAGGCAGCAAAAGGCAGTAAAGACATTTGCAGATGCTTCACCAAACTCCCTTTTTGGCAGGAAATAATCCAAGTGTTTGTGAAAAACAGTCAGTTTCAAATAATATTATGCAAACTATGCAAATGGCTAGAAGACGCATCAATATGGCTAAATCACTAAACATTTATCTAACGAAAATCTATAAAACAAATGCAACTAAATTCTCAGGAAAAAATGCTTTTGTTATTTAAAATTCATACTTTGTCATAATTCAGTAAGTTGAAAAACTTAATCATAGTGAAAAAACTGTCTGAAATTCCAGTTCATGTCAGCAAAAATTTTTTTAACTGACAAAAATATACAAATTTTATTAAACTTAAACATTGGCTATTAATCTTCCTCTATCACTTTTTTTTTTACTTTAGTTACAACCAGAATGGAAATCTTCCTTTGTAAGCAATTTTACATTCACAGAAGTTATTTCTGCAGAAAGCTGATGTATTTTACAAGTCTAGTGCCTTTCTGTGAGGCTCATTTACTCCGGAGTCAGTGGAAAACATTCCCTTTCCTATCTCTCTCAAGTTTTTTCTTCTCTTGTGTACTATCTATTCATCATGTAATCTCTGTTCTCTGAACAGCCCTACTCAGCTCACACCCTTGTTCAGAAGGATTTATCCTTATCTTTTGGAGGCACTTGCCACTCTCTCTCACAGGACCTGTCCCTCCCCTTATCTCTGTCACCCAGGCCCCTGGGGCAGGGACAGCTCTGGTATTCACAGGCTTCTGGGCACAATAGCCACCCCATCAATGCCTACACCTTCTATAGCACTGCAGCACAATTAATCTACCTGAACATGCTCTGACAACGCCAGCATTGTCCTGGTACATTAAAAGCTCCACGTTGGTGCATAAGTACCTCTGGATGGCTGTACACGTTCTGCACGTGCCACCCACAGCAGTGCAAAGGAGTGGGAAGGAAGGACCTGCCTTAGCCTGCACAAAGGGTTATCTCAGCTAAACACACAGGAGGAGTGAAATGGATAATCCTCCTCTGTTTCCTATTAATAAATATCCTTTCATCAACTAATAGTTTTGTCTCTTTATACCAAATTGATACTGGGTCTGGGATACCTCAAAACACAAGGAAAATGGATAGCTACATAAATCATGTCTGTTTGTAATAGCCTTTGACCACAGAGACGTCCTCAGTAACTTATCTGCCACCATCCGCACCTGCGGGGCCACACAAAAGCTGGTCAAGGACTAATTTTCATTGAACTTCTGCACACAAACCCACCCAGAGAAAGCACAGTCTTTCTCCCTTGTACGTATGCGTGTGCGAGAAGAACGCGGATCTGTGCATAACACAGTCTACTCACCTATCCTTTAGTACTTCTCCATCAGAATGATCTTGCTTAGACAAGCAGTGGAGTATTTGCTCAGACAAGCAATGGAGTATTTGCTCATGTGTCTCATTGTTTATTCTGAGATACTCGGTCAGAGACAATAAACTCCCCAAATGCCAGCAGTTTCCTACTATCACTGCCATTCCATAGACCAAGCTTTGGGAGCTGGGTTTGCCCCTTTGAAAATTAATTACTATCCCCTAGATTATCCTACTGAACTTTAGATTTCTCATTAACTCCTCCACGTGTCTGGGCACACTATATACATTTTCATCCATCGCTTTATAGAGATGTTACATTGGCAGGTAGCTTAACCACAAAGGAAGCTGGTGGATATAATTAAGACTTCATTTAACATAAACAAGAAAAAGCTCCAAACCAAAACACTAATAACCTCAAAACCTCTCTTTATGATGAACAGAAACAGTCATATACTATGCAGATCCAATCAGAAAGCCAACTGGTATGGACAGCAGGATGTTATAAATATTACATTGATTAAAGGGAGAGAAAGCAGCAAAAGCAGAACAGAAACAACAACAAAAAGCAGAAAGGAACCTTCACCAACGACACAATTCCAATAAAAGTCTAAAAAGGGCAGTGCCTGAAGGTCCCACTGCCTGGGGCTCACTCTGGCACCCCGTTGGAATGAGCACTGCAGACACACTGTTCTGCTCCTGCCCTGCCTTTGGCACGGAGAGAAAACACCAGCATGTGGGATACAGCGGACCCTGCCGCAGCCCGGCCAGCCCTCACTCTGCGTGGCCAAGTACTGGGGCCGTACTGAGGAACACAAAGTTGCTTCAGCCCAGACACACACAGGGAAGTCTGGGGCAAAGTGCTGGTCACAAGAGACTTGTCAATGTGACTATTGGTTTCTACAGCGCTCGGGGAAACAGAACTCCATATGCATTTCTGTTAATAAATAGGACTGTATTGTTTGAGATTAGGCATGAAAAGCCGCATACCACAGACATATCGTAGCGATTCCTAGCATATGTGTGTGAGAGCTGAAAGAATAACACTTACTGCAATAGCATCGCCATGGGCATGTTCCTATCAGTCCTCTTTTTTGCCATGCATCCATCAGTACCGATGGAATCAAATTCCACATGAAATTTCTGGGCAGCTTTCCTCCACTCCTATACAGGCTTGCCAAAGCGACTGTGCCAGACAGCCAGAGAAACATCTTCCAGAAGTGTTGTGATCACACCCACATTCTCAAATATTGTTACCTTGTAAAAGTTAAAATCTCCAAGACAACAGAAACTGGAATTCTATAATTCAATTATAACTTTGTGAACTCTGGTCACAGTAGGGCTCTAGTAATTATTTACAGAGCAGTTCACTTACTGTAGACTCTAACATTTGATGAGGGTAAGAACATGTAAGGATTTACAATGACCACGTTTTCTATTTGTTTCTGTATCTCACAGCAGTTCTGACTCACTTTGCCTGGAACACAAACAATAACTACAACCATATTACTCTTCTATATAACCTTCAAGACACTGCAATCATTTCAAGCGGCACACTAGTCAAACAAGCTTGTAATGCCATAAATCAAAGTAGCAAAACACGGTATTATCTAAACCAACTACCGTATATCTATTGTATTAACAAGGTTAGGATAAAAAAAAAGTCACTGAAGTTTCGGCTGCTCAAAAAGCAGATGTCTGGAAAGCATATCCTTGCCAAATACATGGTCAAATACTGTGTTTCTGCAACTTCTGATATCTGAGGCTTTTTGAAAACGTCTACGTTAGCACACTAGCCATTGTAAAGAGCAGCACAACGCCAAGAAAACACCACAACTATAATTTGTTGGCTAAATGTAAGAAGAGTAAATTACTGGCTCTGTATATCTCTAACAAAGACCAAGTATAGAGTAATTAAAATAAGCAATCATAGCACAGCTCTTAACACTGATCTGTCTTAATCTATTTTTAACGTTCGTCAAGCATCTGACACTGTCAGCTTGAGCAATCCATGCAGCCTCATAATCATCTACATGCTACCGAGCCACCAGATTTTTTCTCAGGAATGGAGGAAGTTTTTACCTAGTGAGTATTGCAGTACTGAGTATTTACCTATGACCTATGCAATATGTATTTAGAAAGAATAAAACGCCTATTTCAGGATACCTAGTGTCACACATTCTTTACAGAAGGAAGCTTGCTTTGGTCCGATTTTTGCAATTTTGTTTGTCTTGCTGAAACGCAGAAGAAAGAGTACCAGAGTATAATTTCAAAAGCTTTTAGCAGAATTCTAAATGCAACACATTTAAAAAAAAAAAAAAAGCACTATCAAAATGAGCAACAATGACTATATTTTAGCAGAAACAAATGACAAATCATATTTCCTGCTCGATAACAGTATAAATGCATGTAGTACATTAAGAATACAGTAACTTGCTCTTCTTCATTTATTTACCTTTTATGATACACATTCTATTTGCACACAGGAGAAAAAAGTAGACAAGTAACTTTAAAAGTATAAACAATTTGACCTCTCAAACAATAAACGCGTACTTACCCTTGACTGCTCTTTCCTTAAGTTCTAGAAGAGGGCCAGGCCTGTGGTTTGACCCTGTGTTACAAGACAAAAGACACTAGATTTAAGCATGTCATTTCAGCTGAAAGCTTCTGTGCTGCTTTGCTAGTGTGACCTTAGTATAGTGAGTCTGATCACAGAACAGTTTGACTTTTAAGAGAGACTATTTCATTACATGCAGCAGATGGCTCTTCCTGGGAAAACCTCAGCCAGAAAGAGCAAGAGAGAGAGAGAGTTGGCAGCGGGGAGAGGGTACACCCTGCTTCCATAGAAGTCCATGGGAATTTCCTCGTGGCCTTGAGAGAGAGGAAGTGTTGGCCTCAGCCATTTCATAACGAAGCACTAGGTTGTTTTTTAAAGCACATGCTTAAGCATGCTCAGCCGCTTTGCTGGGCACATTGGGAGCTACTTACTTACTTGCTTGAAGTTAAGCACACAAAAGTTCTGCCAAACACGAGAAAACCTGCAATCCCTAACAAGTTGAGGAAAACAAAGGTGGACAGTGAACTTTTAATAACCACTACATAAAAACTCACCTCATCATTCACATTCCTCAAAGGCAAATAAGTGAATCCTGAAGACGGTATCCCCACTGCTGTTACCCAAGAACCCGAGTCTCACGCAGGAGGAACTTCAATGAATTGCACAAAATACTCTAAGCTTAAGGGGTCTAGAAAAGACTGAAAAACAAGCTTTGTGCCAAGTTTTTTCTTGAGCATTTTGCTGAAAGCACAGCTGAAACCAGTTATGAGATACCACAGTGCTAAATACTTCTTGTTCACAGTGTTATCTAGACCCAGATAGGAAATTGGTGTGTTCAACAATAAATATAGCACCTACAAGCACCCGCATTCAGAAATAGCAGCAAGGATATCTGGTTTATGTAACAGTCTAATAGTCAAATTAATCCCCAAAGAAATGAGAGACCAGGATTTAAAACCATATTCAACCCCTGGTAATTTAACTGCTTCACGCTGTAGGAAGACACCCAACGAGCACAGACCATAGGCTGAGGAGGGTGAAAGGCACCTGCCTGATTTTCAGCAGCTAAATCACACACAGCTGTGGATAATTACAAATCACCAGGAAGCTAAATTCACTGTCTTACCTGTATCCATTTTGCCATGCAGATTGATCTTCCACCTAAATTAGGAGAAATAAACTGTTGGTTAACAATGCAGGAAAAAGCCACTCAGCACAGTTTCTTGAAGTTAGGTCAAATTAAATGGCTTGTTTTTCAGAGATGCTCGACCCCAGAGAGGTCAAGAGAGATGCAATACTGTCACCTGCTCTGCTGTGGATGTGTATCTCCAAGCAGATGCGAGCCTGTTGACTGGAGCAATGGAACTCATGAGACAACAGGCTCTGCTGATCAGCATGGTTATTCGTTTGGTCTCAACACTCTGCAGCTGCAGCCACCAACCTTCCAGCTCACTCACAGGGAAAGTAAAGCAAGCGTGCTGTCACGTGAGGAAATACTGCAGAAATATAGTCACATCTAAACGCTTGATCACCGATTAAAAATGTTAGTTAAATTAATTTAACTGTAATTCCAGAGAGATGACAGTTCCAATTGTAATTCCAGAGAGATGATAATTCACCTTAGATCATCACTATGCTCATCAGCCCGTTAGCAGTGATGGAGAACCATCATGGAAATGTCTCTCCTTGGGAGACTCTTCCCGAGCAGTGCCTCCTGTCCCTTGCTAAGAGACACATAAGGTGCCTGACCCCTTCAGATGGGCACTTGATTTTTGGGACAGCAGCCCAGGCAGAAAGGATGTGTCACAGAGCCCATGGCTGTGTCAGCTGTGATTAGATACAGCTGTGATGAGATACAGCTGTTTCTCCTCAAAGCGAGACCCCCCGCCCCCAGTGCTGTATGATTTTTCCCCGTTTTACCCCCCTGCTCTCCATCTCACAGGAGCTCCACTCCAGGCCTTCCTCCATGGACCCCTCAGCGCCACACTGCCCACACTGAGGGCACCTCTAGACCTCCAAGCCAGAACGCTCCCCTTTCCTCCTTCAAAACGGGGTTAAAAAAACAGACCCCCTAGACCGGTTACCTCACGCTTGCGGGCTCATGGAAGAGATCTTTCCCTTCCCCAAAGCCCATGGGCCTCCCGGGCACCAACATGGCGGAGGGGGGTCCCCACAGGCGAGGGCAGGAAGATGCGTCGCGCGTGAGGCCAACGCCATGGCCCGGCCGTGACCGAGTCGCGCCGCCCCGGGCCCGGGGCGGCGCGACTCGGTTACGGCCGGGCCATGGCGTTGGCCTCGGCTCCGGACGGGTCGCACCGAGCTGTGCCGGGCTTGAGGGACCCTGCCCCGGTCCGTACCCCACCGCCTGCCCCGCCGCACCCTGCGGCTGCGCCTCGGCGCGTCCTTCCGGGCGGGAGCACCGCCCCGAACCGGAGGGCCCGTAAGTGAGGAGGCAGGAGCCGGGGTGATGTCGGAACCGGTGCGCAGCGGGACCCCGGCGGGTTCCCTGCCCGTCAGCCGCTTAGCTGAGCCGCTGCTCCGGAGGCTCAGCGAGCTGCTGGACCGAGCGGCGCCCGGCAAGGGCTGGCGGGACCTGGCGCAGCGAGCGGGGAGCCGCGGCAGGGTCCGGCTGAGGTGAGGACGGGCGGCGGGGGCGGCCGCGGGGGGCCCGTCCCGGAGCCTGCCCCGAGGGGACGGTGAGGGATGCGGCCGGCGAGGGTGAAGCGGGGGGTGCGGGCTCCTCCCGGGGTAGGTCTGTGCCGGGGCGGGGGAGCGACAGCCGAGCCCCGCGCTTGGTTCCGTGACCCAGCGACACCCCCCCGTCCCTCCCGCAAGCCCGCACCCGGCCGGCACACGGGCAGGAGCGTCCATCCCCGAGGGAAGCCCCCGGGACGGAGGAGGCGCAGCCCGTCCCCGGGAGATGATGGCCGAGTCCCGGGCGAGGAAGCCGTGGGGCTCGTGGGGCTGCGCTTTGCCCCCGCAGAGCATCCCCCGTATCCTCGCCCGGCTCCCCGCAGCCCCGGGAGCACGGAGAAGGGCTGGGGCTCTGCCCCGTAGCTCCTCTGGGCTCCATCAGGGTAAACATCTTCATTTTCTTCAGCTCTTGCTGCCCGGGTCCCGTTCTCTGGGTCGCTTCCTCCTCATCTCACTTCCTGTGGCTTCTCAAGGTTTTGTTCAGAGGGTGGCATCTCAAAAAATGAGGCTTTTCAAGTGCAGCACGGAATGTACGTTATGAAGATGTGTCCTTTCTGTATTATAGCTGTATTTATCAATGTAGGGAAGTAGAACCTGGGGATTACAACGTGACCCCTCTGTCAGCTAGGTTTGTTTTTCTGTAATAACCAGTAAAATCCCGCAAAAGTCTACACGATAAGCAAAAATATCTTGCCTCCAGGTTTGCATTGCACTGTGATTTAATGCAGAAAACACTGATGAATCTTTTTAGCAGGTATCCATAAACTTGCATTCTCTTTCCATAGCTGTATTCATTTCCTAATTATCTGTGTTATTTTAATCTGCCACGATTGGAAGCGCATGAAGCCTTAACACCAAAATTTATACCTGGGGATGAAGGCATTGGAGCAGTTAAGGGCACTGTGGCAGTGGTGTGTGTATCAGTTACGCTGCAGCAGCTGCTTAACAATTAGTCTGAAAATCAAAGTCTTCCTGGACTTTCAAGTTAGGTTCTGACTCACTCTTTACCGCTTCTGAATTAGGCACATGAAAATGAAAGGTGCTGTGCTTGCTTTTCTGCTGAGACTTTAAAAAGTGAAAATTAGATTTCTTAATACATTTAGGCAGAATTGTTAGGTACGAGCATCTCTCATTAATTTGTAGCACGCAGCTCACTAATACCGCTTTCTCTCTGTAGAGGTGTCATGTGTAACCTCTGAACTCCTGAAACTAGAAGGAAGTAGTGCAGATACATCCAAATCAGCTAGGAATTCCCCATCTCTGGGGCTGGTTTTTTTTCAGTGTTTTTGTGTGTCTACAAGTGTGTTTTTAACCGGGCTCCTTTCTGAGGAAGAAGCACTAAAGAGGTCTATGCCACTTTGTCTTTCTCCTATTGCTCTGTAGCCCTCTGGATTTAGAGCAGTGTTCCCTCAAGGTGCTGGAGCCAGAAGGAAGTCCCAGCTGGAGCCTCCTGAAGCTGCTGGGAGATCGGGGCTGCACTGTGGTGGAGCTGGTGGAGTTCCTGCAGGCACTGGAGCACACGGAGGCTCTCCAGTGCCTCAGCCACTCAGGTCAGTTCTAGTTTGTGCCTTCCGTGCAACTGCCTGTTTGGAAGCACTGGAGGATTTGTTTTCCACAGTAAGCAAAAACATCTAGCAGTTGGTGTTCGTGTAATTACCATAGTAGTGGGCTGATGTGATTCTGAGGTTAAAAGTAAGCCAAGGAGGTGAGCAGGCTTAGCGCAGTGCAGACATGGACCTGGCTGTGTGGGTATGGCAGGTCCTGACTCAGGTCCTGTGTCAGGCTGTGCCCTCGGGAGATGCTCATGGCACTGACACAGTTGAGGTAGAAGGACAAGTGGTGTTGCCAGCTGTCTGTATGGGCTACAGGTTTCATTAACTGCGTTTCATAGCTTGCCCTAATTGAAAGAGAAGGGACCAGTTAGTGCCAGTTCTGGTGCATACTGGATTCAGCCCGACTTGCTAACTGGACAGAAAAACAGAGTGACTTAGATAGAACTAGGTTATTTTCCACTAACCCGTTCAGCTCACTTCTTCGCAAAAAGTCTAGAAGTGGGGCCAACACAAGGGAATTCATGGGTAAAACCAGGGCCCTTTTTTCCTGCTTTGGGCTGTGGTGGAATCCAGCCTATCGGGCAGTCACAAAAGCTTCTCTTGAGAGCAGGGAGTGGAAATGAGACTAGCGAGCTCCTTGCCATACTGATAGCTGTCCTGTTCTTGGGACAGTCTGAGGAACGAAGCTGTGGGCTGAGAACCATTGTTAAGACAACCTTGGGATCTTCCAGGTAAATTTCACTGAATTTCACTGAATTTCTAGAGTTGGAAGGGACCACAGAGATCATCTAGTCCAACTCCCCTGCTGAAGCAGGATTGCCTAGGATTATAGTAATGCTTTGCAGCTCTTTCATCTAGTTAAGGCTGCTGCTTCTACCGTCCTATGAGGACTATGTGGTGTGGGATGGGATGCGATGGAGTTATGTGCCAGCTTAGTCCAGCTGAAGTACAGCACCGTAGGCCTGGCAGGGAGAGGGGAGCTGATGGTAGAGCAGCATGAGTCTTCCCTGACACATTGGGTTAATGCAGTAGAAGATCATCTTCCTAAAAAGACACAAAATAGAAGTGATAATAACTTTAAAACTTCTCCATTTCGGTAGTGAGAAAGCTTAGGCATCTTCTTCCTTGGGTTGCCTCTCTGTCTCGTCTCTTCCCTTTTCTCATCTTGTCATGTTGTGAGCTTGCTGGAAACGGATGAAATGCGATGAGCTTTCTCCCAGGCTAAGAATGAAAAAGCCTGAATATGCAATCAGTGGTACTACAGTCTAGTCCTCGTGCAGCCCCACTGAGTTGTGGTGATTGAAAAAAGACCAAAGAGGTGCTTTTCCTCTGCAGGCTCTTCCTGCGGTGGTTTAGGCACTTGGGTCTCAGTGTGAGTAACTAAGGCTGAGTTTCCAGAAATGAGTGCAACTGTTTCCCAGTGTGTAAGCTAAGAACGCAGCAGTCAGGTTATAGTTAAGATTATGAGTATGTAATTTACGCTGCATATTTCAGAGTCTGGTAATCCTAAATGTCAGTTTGCCATCCTTCATGGTAAAACTCGAGCTTTGCATTCCCAATGAAAATTGAAGAAGTATTTGTGTATCTTTGTGATCGTTCAAAAGATTGAGCCAGAAGGTTTTCTTTTTGAACCAGAGAATTCTGTGGTGCTTGCCGGAAGTAGCTTAGTGCTGAAAGAATTGCAGGAAAAGGAATGAAACTGTGAAGAAATTATGAATCAGATTTCTTTGAAGTTGTTTGTAATACTTCTAAGGAGTACAAACTGCTAATCTTTCAGAGAATTTGTTTTTCTCAACTACTTGAGAGATACTAGTGATGCAAATTAAGAGAGATTTAAAAAAAAAAAACAAAAACAAACAAACAACAACTGGAAGTCTTTGGAAAGACCCCAGGATCTTTGTTGGGATCATGCTGCAACTAGGTCTCTGGAATCGTCTGAGTTAAGAAAACAACTGGATCATATCAGACCAGGGTCAGAATTTCGCTCACGCTATTGTCTGGTGAGGTAAAATTTGCAGTGGAATGTACCTTGACCTGGGAGGCTGGCAGAAGAAACCCTGGCCCCAAGTTCTAGAGGAGTAAAGGCATCAATCCCAAACCAGTGTTGCAGCTGGTAAGGTTGCACGAGGAGTAGGAGAAAAACACACTGTGTTGCAGTTAAACTAAGTCTTACTGCTTCAGTCCATCCCTTGGGCTGTGCTTAATCTGAAGATGAACAGCTCAAGGAAGTTGTTGGGAGTGAGCAAACTCATAAAACTGGGAATACCTTTCCCAGACAGGGTCTGTGATGCCTTTAAAGTATTACTGCGTTAGTGAGTAGAGAGTAAGAGGAACTGAAGTATCCTAAAGTCAAAATGGCTGAATGGTCTAATTTAAATCTTCCATAAACTCTGTAGAGTACTGATCACTTTAAGCCTGGATTCGGTGCAATGGAAGACACTTTTGAGTGTCTTAAAGTCATATGACTAATTGGAACTGCGTGCATACACTGTACAAACAAATTATTTTCAAGTATATTTAATGACAGAGACTTTCTTTGCTCAAAGGACAATTTAAGTGCAAATTTAAATTGTGGAGTTGTAATTCTTAAAAACTTTCCTATGTGTTAATTCTTTTTGAAAGGTATAAAGATTGTTGTGCAGCCCGACTCTCAAGCAGTGCTCTCTGGGCAGGTCGTCAAGCTATGCTGCTGGGCAACAGGGCACCCATTTGTGCACTACCAGTGGTTCAAACAGGAAAAGGAGGTAAGAGTTGATTGAGAATATGGATCTTCTAAGTGGTGAAAAGAATAGGTAATAATTTAAAGACTCTTATTTACAAAGAGAGAAGACTGCTATATATACACTAATAAAAATAGAAGTTCAAGAAATGCTGCATAATGACCCTATGAGTGTGCTAAACCATTAAGGTGATTCCTTGTATTCAGACCCCTCCATCCTTGGAGGCAAATCCTGCAAGGTGACAGGAAGGAAATGGCAAGTTCGGTTGCCTCTTGGGCTACCAAGAAGTTTAACAAAGGCTACTGAGAACCTGCCACACTGGAACAAGCACCAGTTGCTGCTGGTTTGGGACAGATGGGATCTGGTTTCCTAAGAGTGAGCAAAGGCCTGAGCTCGGGGTTGCCACAGGCTTCCTCAGTGAAATACCAGAATGCGTATCAGCTGGGGTCACTGGAATTTGAAGGACAGCACTTACCCCCATGTTTGCAGTCTAGTTATTTTTCTACAAGATGAATGCACTTATTTCTTAATGTTATTTTATTGTAAGCACTGTTTTGAAAACTGCAGGAAGTTTATGGTATTTTTAATGGCTGTTAGGAATTAAATTTTTAATTCATTTTCTGCACCTTTTTAAAGGTTTACCTAGATCATTCAAAACATGGCTTAAAAATATGATTACACTAATTTGCTGCTCATTACAGTTAAAATATAGATGTAGTGAAAAATTATTTTCTGTGAAAGAATGTTAGAGTTTCCTGGTCATAGCTGAGTATATCTTAAGATAAGAGCTGAATGTAGCGCTCACACTGGTTGGAGTAATGCTTAAGAAATTATTCCGAGTTATTTGTGGAGAAAGGTAAAAGTTATTAATTTCAGGAAGGAAGAGCTGTTCAACTGCCGTAAGAGCTCAGAGTTGTCTTAAATAGAGGCATATGAATTATTCTTGGAAGAAAGCCTCTCTCTGAACTACTAAATACGTAGAACAAGAACTGTCTCATCCAAAAGTTTCAAGTAAGTGAAGGAATTGAGGCTGGTGTTGTGGACATTGAAAGAAATATTCTTATGTTTGATCCTGGCTCCGATTGAATCAATCTAAGTTTAAGTGTTTCTTGGTTCACCTGTAATTCAGGTTCCCCACGGCAATTCTCCAGAGCTGGTTTTGAATCCGGTGAGTGTGAACGATTCGGGGTTTTACATCTGCCGAGTGAACAGCGAGTCTGCCTTTGTGTTCAGCCGCTGGGCACGACTTGACGTTTGTGATCTCCAGGGCTCCTCTCATGGTGAGTGGCAAAAACATTGTCTTCTGAAGGTCTGTCTTCCCACTCGTTAGAGGGACGTGGGTCCCCGTTGCTGTCTGGCACAGATGTGGGAAAGGGCTGACTAACAATGCAGCATCCAGTTACTGGGTCTTGTACTGCTCGCAAAAACAGGAGAGAAATGAAGTTCCACAGTCGTGGGTAAGAATGGGCAGATGGAAAACACACACAGTCTCAGATCCTTTTAATTCCCAGAGGATTCTTGGACCAAAAAATCAATTCTTTAACTCTTGTTGTTTATCTGTTTACCTGTTGTAACTGGCAAGTGACTGGACACACACAGTCTATTCTGAATTTTTTCAGCTGTTGTTAGTCTGTGTGTGCTTAGATTAACTTTCTTTTTTTTTTTTTAAGGGAGCTTAATTGGTTTGCCCGAGAACAAGTTGCGCATTTGTGTTCAGCCTCAGCCACAAAACCTAGCAGTGGGGGATGCTTTGGTACTAGAATGTGGAGCTGTGGGAAACCCAATTCCCCATTACCAGTGGTTCCGAAATGGATTTCCCTTGGCAAATGGGAGCAAAAATGTCTACACAGTAAGTTACTGCAAAGTGCCAGCCTCAGGGGACCAACATGTAACCACCTCTAACTTGTCACATACCTTTCCTTGCTTCTTCATAACCTCGATAACCACTTGTGGAAGCGCACACTCCTCGTTGCTCTCTTGTTCTGTTGTTCCTCACTTGCCCATACTGTTCCAAGGCTCTCGGGTGCATAATTTTAATCCTGTACGTGTCTCAGGCTGTAGTCATGGGGTAGAAGGCTATGGTGGATGTGTTGAGACAACAAAGATTAAGTATCAGTAAAAGTGAAAGCTTCCCTCTTTCCTGCACCGCAAAGCACTGATTTGTATGAGCCGATACGTGCAGTACTTAATGCATCTTGAGCCTGTGAGATGGCTTTCCATTCCTCCTGCCTTTCTTGCAAGCATTTCTGGAACACTCATGCTGTCCACCTCATTGAAGAGTCAGCTTTTGGGTTTGTTTAGGCTTTGTCTTCAGTTTTTACACTTTCTTGCTGGCGGGCTTAAATGAAACTGATAGAAGTGTTGTTTTGGGGTCTGGTGGGATGACTGTGACGATGCTCGTTCAGGTAACTTACGTGGACGTGGAACATCAGGGGACATACTGGTGTCATGTATACAATGACCGGGAAGATCAAGACAGCCAGAAGATAGAAGTCATTATAGGTAAGGAGCTTTTCTGTTTGATGCAAGTCCATTGATTTATCAATTTCTTACCTATTGTTAGTATTTATTTTTGAAGCTTTCAGTATTAAGCCAAGCATATAGCCTCCTGGTGCTTTAGTTTCTCTGTTTGTTAAAATAGCCACACTTGCTTGCAGCAAATGAATTTTTAGAGCTTTATCAGCTGTAAACTGCTTTGGGCTTTTATAGTAACCAAATGACCTTTGTCTTTCACTTTGTGTGCTGCCTCTCATAACTGAGAGCAATTGTCTTCCAATTTTTCTCCCCCTTAAAACCCAAGGAAGGAAAGCTATGGCAGTGGAGTGCGCAGAAGGTAAAGTAGATCTTTAGTTGTGAATCAATTTTCAAAAATGAATGATGGGGGTGATGGATCGTTGAGCATGTTGCTGAAAAGCACGTCTGGGTTAAGAGCTTCGGTCTATTTTAAAGCACTGAGGTATGATGCAACCTTCCTTCTGCATGTGTTTCTGTCCTGTTTGCTGTGATAAGGAGGAAAACCAAGTGACTTTCTTCTGTGGCATTCACTGGGTTTGTGTCCTGTGCTTACAGTTTCTGGGGAAATCTAAAGGTCCTGAGATTTCTTTGGCTGGGCTCAGGAGGCAACATCTTGCAAGAAAAGCTGGAGATGTTTAGGAGCCTGGGTTACCTTAGAGAGCTGGACAGAGCTTGTTCCTCTGGCAGCTATGTCTCTGCAAGAGATGTTTCCAGCAACTTTTCCAGCCCACTTCTGTGTCTGAAGAGGTCTCCCAGGGCTCTGGGCACGGAGCAGCCCTGCTCCAACACACCTCTGGGGCTCAGATAAAGGGGTTTCTTTTCCATAGTTTCCAGCATTCTCACACTAATTATGTGAAACAACGTGGTAGCTTAGAACACTTGAAAATCCTATCTGAAGTGTTTCTGAATACGCATGGTTTTACGAAGTAAGATTTCTTGCTCAGGATGTTGCTTTTTCAGCAGTCCTTCCAACATCTGTTTTTCCAAAGGGTGATTCTGGCCTCTTGTTCCTTCTTCATTCCACTGAGGCACCGCCTGTGTTTCTCCCTTTGTTTCGAGATCTCCTGTATTATACTGCTGTGTCAGGAATAGCTTAGTGTATTGATGTAGGAATTCCTCTTCTCTGCATGTGGAATAAACATAGGAAAGATTAGAGTTACAGAAATGCGAAGCCAAAAGTATTTTAGAAAGGTAGTTTGTCTTCTAATATTTGACTTCTATTAATTATGGCATGACACTTAATTATATTTTTATTAATAAATGTATTTTTCTTCTTGTTTAAATTATTATTTTATTGGTGTATTTTTTCACAGAAGATCTAAGTGATCTTCAAAAACCAGGTAAGGGACAAGTTTTGAAACACTTTAATTTTGCATCTTCATTTTACATTACAAATCACTGGAGCCTAGCTGGGCTACAATGGGTGGTTTATGTTATTTGGATGTATTTATAACTGGGGATTTGATAGGGGTGGATACCATGTTAAGACTGGCACAGCTTTCTGGTTCCAATAAATTACCTTGAAGAATACAGTGAATCATGGGGCTGCTGTTACCTTTGCCAAATCACACAGAGCTGCTCTTTTATGCTGCATGTATACTTAAACACAGAAGAAGTTCTCTCTTGCTTTCTTGTCTGTGGTTTCTCTGGTCTCTAAGTTTTAGTATGTTGCTGCCTTTTCAGATGAATAAGGTGAAAAAAATGTAGGGTATCTGGCTGTCACCCATGACACATTGAATTGGTGAATTTCTTAAATTAACCTTGGAGTGAGATGATGTGATTTGAAGCTTGTTTTGTGTTTGTTACAGAAATGTAGATCTGGAGTAGTGCTCAAGAAGGGATTATCCCTGATACTGTGTTCCCAAAATCTCAAATCACAACTGCACTGTGAGCATCTCTTACTTCTTAATTTATAAGAACTAACTGTTCATATCCTATTAGGCTATGTTTGCTGGAATAGGGTGAAGGAAATCAGGTAAACACCACCACCACAACACCCTAAAATCCCACCAAAACAAAACCAAAAAAAAAGTACTTCTTTGTCTTAAGCTAATAACTTACTAGGTAAAGCAGCACCAATAGACTGTGGGTGTGTGGAACAGGCAGTTCATTTGTGGACACTGGCAGCTGTGACTGTAGTTACTGACGATCTGCTCTCTTAATCTATTTCAAGGAGACCTGCAAGAACAATCACATCACAGACCGGTTGGTAAGTAGTTTTGTAGCCGTAATGCTCCTATGTATTTCATCACTAGGAAATAGGTTTTGCTGTTTCTGGGTATTGCTGCTCCTGCCACAGCTAGTGAAATAACAGTGGTGTGTGTGAAGAGCTGCGGGGCAGGGGGGTTGTTCTGGGTATTTTATAGTCCTTTATACTGCTTGCATGCCCTTTCAGCAGTAAACGCTGGGGAGGGCACCAGTATTTTTAGTGACTGGGTGCAGTGTCTCCAACTCCTCTGTTTGAATTTACTGTTTCAAATTCCTCTGGCCAGGACCTGGGCAAGTGTGTTCCTCCATGACTTTGGTTGGAGACAGTGGTCAGGGGATGACGGGGTAGGAAGGCTGGAGTTCTCTGTCTGCTGGGGGTGTGCTGTCCCTGCAGGCTCCGCTCTCCCTCTGCGCGTTGTGGGGATGCCCTCATCCTGAGCCCAACCTCGTCGAGATGGTTGGATGGCCTCTGCGTGTTAGGAAGAATACTTGCTGAAGAATAGGTTTTAATGATATTCTTAAATATGGATGGTAGGCTGGACTGTGGTCAGGCCTGTTGTCGTGTCGATACTAGCCCAGCTGGACAGGCTGCTGGCCTCTGTCAGAACGTCATCACTCTTTCAGGTCCATCGCTGTGAGAAGGGAGTGTGAGTGCTCCCAGTCCTGGCTCATCTTTTCTAAATTAATTAGAAAGCTTGTACTTCTAAAAGTGTTTTTCAGTGACAGTATCCCACTGTCGCTTGGTCTCTGCCGTTTGAAATAGTTTACACTCTTCAGGACCTTGGCTGTTTTCCAGCTGCAAAACTGTTGAAAAGACCTTGTTTGAAGGCAGTGGAAGGTTAGAGCTGGAGGCTGTGGACAGGCATCCTCCCTGGATCTGGCTCTGCGGGGTTCCTGACTCCAGAGCAGGTTTGGGGTGTTCACACAGCTCATTTGCCACCGGAGCTGTGGGTGCAACAGTTCCTGTTGGGGAGAAGTAACAAGCCAGGAAGGAAATGCCTTGCTTTGATTAGATGCCTTTCTGTAACTCGGAGTGCAATTTTGGAATAAAAATAGGGTAGTGGTCTCAAAAGCACTTCTGTCCCCTCTTGCTGCAGCTTTGTTCTGTTATGACATAATTACTTCTGACTTTGAACAAACTCCACATAAGCATAACTCAGACTATGAGAACATCAGTTGATTTCCCTCTGAATTTTGTCAATTTCCCATGTCTCTGTGTAGCTGTTTTTAACCAGAACAACAGTCAAAAGAAACCTTAACAAATACAAAGAAGACTTTTTACTTCTGACCTATAAATTTTCCACCTCAATATGCCATGTTTTAGAGAAACAGGAGATGGGGGCTGGAGATGTGGAAGTGGTCTTTTGTGTGTAGTGGCTCTTTGTTTGTTTTTTAAGAAGCATAAGGAAATTTGAGTTTCAGGGGAAAGTACGGTGCCCATAGCTTTGGCAACTTGTCATAAGAATTTTCATGTTTATTAAATTTCCTCATGCATGGGGGAATTCAGTAATTGTGCCTTCAAGAAAATGAAAGAAATGGGAGGTACCTTAGTGACTCACTTGGCGGATTATCCCGTCTGAGGTGCATCATGGTTCAGAGGTGTTGGCTGTCGGGCCATGCTGAAACGGGTGTTTGGTTTTTGGATGAGCTGCATTGTTGATGAGGGATGACACTTACAATCATACAAAATGTTATGCCTGAAGTGAGATTGGATACTGTTTTCGCTTTAGAAGAAACTGAACGTAAAGGTGTTGAGCCCATGGAGCATGTAACGGTGCTGTGGTTCTGTGTCCCCGTTGTCCCCGCAGCCACAGACAAGGTAGCGCTGTTAATAGGAAACATGAGCTACTGGAATCACCCCCGGCTCAAGGCTCCCATGGTGGACGTCTATGAACTGACTAATTTGCTAAGACAGCTGGATTTCAAAGTTGTTTCTTTGCTGGATCTCACCGAGTCCGAGATGCGAAACGCAGTGGATGAGTTCTTACTTCTCCTGGACAGAGGAGTGTACGGTAAGAAGCCGTGACGTCCCTTCTGGGGTCGGGGTTGTGATGTGTCTGGTATTTGCCTCTGCCAGCTCAGGCACGTGATCGCAAAACAGACTTCACAGCGAACAGCTTGTGTGTACAACGGGAAAAGTAAGCTTAAAACAGCCACCAGCACATTCTTTGACCTTCGTTAAAATGTTACTGTTTCTTTAATCTTAGAACAGATAAAATGTGAGCTACGGAATTCAGGTTCTGACTTTCTGCAGTTGTCAATAGTAAAGGATTCTGTTTGGGCAGAACTCAGGTACCACTGTTTGACAGCTCTGCAGAAGGTCTGGATATAGAGTGTAAAATCTATTCTTTTTGTCTGTCTTTGCACATTTGCTTCATTAACCCAAATAACACCCCATAAAAATCCAAGGCTCTCACCTTCAAATTGAAGCATCGCTCTACTGATTGTACAGCAGCATCTCATCACTCTTGGTTTAAGTTACAGGAGAACAAATTAGGCAAAGTATGCATACTAAAGATGTGTTGAACATATTTCTCCTTTTTTTTTTTTAATTTTCCTCTCTAAGTTTTTGTTATTTGAGTCACCCATCCATTTCGAAGCTACCTGTAATAGACTATTAATAATTTTAAGCTCACACTGCACAGAAGGTGCCTTCTGCTGGGGTGATAAGTAACCAGCTGGGTCAGGTGTGCGTCGCTGCTGCTGTGCCTTGGTCCTTAGGTGGTGACTCGTGTGTTGGGATTCTCTGTCCGGCATAGACTTGATTTTGAGGGACCAAGCCCAAGGCAGAGCTGGTGGCTGTGCCAGCTGGGGGAGGGCATGGTGGAGTTGATGCACAGAGCAAAAACCTTCATGTCCTGCATGGAAAACGCCTAGAATGGCTTGGAGCATAAGAGAGTTCCTCTGTGGGCTTTGAAGAGTTTGCTGCTGACTACTGCTATTTCTGTCATTTTTCTAAAAGCTAAGGTTGCATAAACAGCACCAGAAATGGTTTAGAACAGGGACCAAAACATTCTGCCAGCTGTCCTATCTAAATTGCAGAATTCCTATAGTAATGCCCATCCAAGAAAACAGGATTGGATTCTTTTTTGGAACACAAGGTCAGATTATTTCTTAGTGTGACTTTTTTAATGGTGTGTTACCTGATGCGCTGTCTGTGCAGAACTGGCTGATCTGACATTTGGGCATTTATGTCAGAGGCAAAACTTGCATGACACGAGGACTAATTATGGCAGTGAAGTATAGCAGACTTTGAGAGCAGTCTTCTTTTTTTGTTCCCTGGGAAATAGATGTGCTTATACATCTGAGTGAGCTTTTGCATTTTTGCACCTTCTTCATTTTTTTCTGCAATGGTTGACGTGAATTTAGAAAATAAAGTACTGAAAGACTAATGAGTTTCTCGCCAGCACCATATGAAAGCTCTTATAGGGCCTATTTTTGCAGTTGTATTTTTGCAGCAAGTTGATATTTCTGAAAGGTGAGCAGAGCATTCTTTCAGGAGTGTCTGGTAGCAGCTACTTTCATTTAAACGGTCACTTTGTTCTTTCTGGCCATTTGTTATTTGAGTCACCCATCCATTTCGAAGCTACCTGTAATAGACTATTAATAATTTTAAGCTCACACTGCACAGAAGGTGCCTTCTGCTGGGGTGATAAGTAACCAGCTGGGTCAGGTGTGCGTCGCTGCTGCTGTGCCTTGGTCCTTAGGTGGTGACTCGTGTGTTGGGATTCTCTGTCCGGCATAGACTTGATTTTGAGGGACCAAGCCCAAGGCAGAGCTGGTGGCTGTGCCAGCTGGGGGAGGGCATGGTGGAGTTGATGCACAGAGCAAAAACCTTCATGTCCTGCATGGAAAACGCCTAGAATGGCTTGGAGCATAAGAGAGTTCCTCTGTGGGCTTTGAAGAGTTTGCTGCTGACTACTGCTATTTCTGTCATTTTTCTAAAAGCTAAGGTTGCATAAACAGCACCAGAAATGGTTTAGAACAGGGACCAAAACATTCTGCCAGCTGTCCTATCTAAATTGCAGAATTCCTATAGTAATGCCCATCCAAGAAAACAGGATTGGATTCTTTTTTGGAACACAAGGTCAGATTATTTCTTAGTGTGACTTTTTTAATGGTGTGTTACCTGATGCGCTGTCTGTGCAGAACTGGCTGATCTGACATTTGGGCATTTATGTCAGAGGCAAAACTTGCATGACACGAGGACTAATTATGGCAGTGAAGTATAGCAGACTTTGAGAGCAGTCTTCTTTTTTTGTTCCCTGGGAAATAGATGTGCTTATACATCTGAGTGAGCTTTTGCATTTTTGCACCTTCTTCATTTTTTTCTGCAATGGTTGACGTGAATTTAGAAAATAAAGTACTGAAAGACTAATGAGTTTCTCGCCAGCACCATATGAAAGCTCTTATAGGGCCTATTTTTGCAGTTGTATTTTTGCAGCAAGTTGATATTTCTGAAAGGTGAGCAGAGCATTCTTTCAGGAGTGTCTGGTAGCAGCTACTTTCATTTAAACGGTCACTTTGTTCTTTCTGGCCAGTGGCTATTAATGGCTTAAGGCGTATAAAAGGTGCTGTCAGTGCACAAGCAGATAATGATTTATTGCATTTTTAGTGGGCACAGCTCCAAACAGAAGAGGCGTAGTTGGGTGCTCCTGTTCAGTCCTGCTACACATACTGATACAACATTGTGTAATTCTTGCTCACTGCCAGGAAAGTGGCATTTCAGGCGCTGCTCATCCAGGGCAGGAGCAGCGAACAACGTGATGGCGATTGTCTCCTCTAATGTCTTACTTCATGTTGTTCTAAATGGAGGGTGCAATTAATATTGTATTCCACAAAGGGTAAAAGCTTAGACCCGTGTGTTTTAAAGGCTAAATATAGTTAGGCTGCTTTCTTTAAAAAAAAAAAGGCAAGAGGGAGACACAGATATCACTTCGATGCTGACGTCTGTGAGGAACTTGAGCCCACTTAAAATTGTTGTGTCCAAGTGTCTAACGAGCCCCTCCAAACATGTTTACTCCGCTTGCTTTGGTATGCAGAGGTTTATTTCTGATCCTGAGCTCAACATATTAACTGTTGCAGGTACTCATCAAATCAGCCTAGCACAGACACCTGCTCGAGGACAGAGGAGAACCATAGTTATTTCTGAAATATTTCTGTTCATTGAGGAAATGCTCTTGTGGATTGTGCTTTATGTTAGACTTGTTTCCTTTGGTCAGCCCAGTTACTTGTCTGACATATACTCAGATATATGTCTTCTCAAATACAATCTTGATTTAGGTCCAGATCCAAACTCTGTGGAGATGAAATTTAAGAGTTTCCTTTTAACTTCAGACCTGACCTGGAGCTGTGCACTTGGTGCTTAACTTCACTTTTAACTCTCTTGAAACTACCTTGTCTCCGTTGGCATTGGAATCTTAGAAATAGCCCAATAGTACCTCTATTTGTTTAGGGGTTTAATTGTACACTTTAAATTCTGTGCCCGTTAGAAACCCAGCTTTTAATTGAGTGAAGCCATTGCCCTATTCCATGGCTCTGGCAGATGAGAGACTCCGAGGCCGTTGGTTGCAGTGAGACTGTGTATCCTGGAGCTTGCCCTGGGTGCCTGAGCCGATCCCGGCTCTGCCGCTGCTGCCCATGAAAAGCTGTTGGGTGCTGCTGGTCGAGTGTAGCCCTTTGCCAGGGCTCGGTGTTGCTGTTAATGACCTGGGAGCTTACGAGGAGGAGAGAGCCAAAGGCTTGGTCTGAAGCGCTGTAGTTATATCCTGGTATTCCTTTACAAAAAGCTCAGGACTGTGGCAAAGGAGCATTTTCATTTGTTGGAGCTTTCTGTAATGAAAAGGTAAAAACATCTAGTGTACCTGCCTCCACAAGCTGATTTCGATATAGATTACTGTATATTAGATTAAGGCTTATCTTGTTTTCTCTGAATATTCAAGTTTTGTAGTGACATAAATTTCACAGCTATTTTTAGTAATAATAATGACATAAGATCATATCTCCAGTCAGCAGAAATTGTTGTATCTCTGACTTTGATTCAGCTGCAGCACTACATACTAACTGAAGACCTGACCCATAGAGTGTTTTGTATAGATAAATAAAAATTCTTCTTAGAAGATGGAACTTGTCACAGATAAGCCAAAGCAGCACTGGGAACAGACAACAGGAAAATTCCATTTAATCATACAAGCTTCTGGTGCCTGCATTTCATGGCAGTGGAGGTTATTAATGCTAAGATTATCTAATCTTACTGTAAATTGATAGGACCTTAATATTTGAAATTTTTATTCACATAAGTAAAATCTAAGCCCTAAGTTGCAGTTTCCTTTTTCAGGGTTAAGAAGAGCTTTTTTAAATTCCATTATATGTTTTCTTTATACAAAACTATTGCGTGCTTTATTTCAGTTTTTATATCTTAAAATGTAGTAGACTGTTGTGTATTGACGCATGGAGGAGATGATCCTTCGTGCCCCAGGTAAGCACACCAAGAATGTCTTTGGTCAGTAGACCCAGAAGAGCAATGAGTCCGTAACTGCAGAGAGATGTAGATGCAATCAAGTTAAAATGAGTTGTTGGCAGCTTGGCATTGGGAATGTGCTCTGGAGTCCTGCCAAATATCATCATGGAATAATCTTTTTTTTTTTTTGTCTAAGCATAAAAGTATTTCTTATCCCTCCCTATAACAAAAATAAAAAAGACAAAAAGAAATGGAGAAAAGTGACTGTACAGAGGAAACAGCAAAACTGAAAACTTGCAAAACGCTTTCACAGTGCAAGCAAGGTTTTTCTCTTATTTCTTTTCTAGTTAAAATACTTTTAAGAATTGCCAGTGATTAATGGTAAGTAAAAACAAAAAAAAATGTAAAGGAGAATAATTGTAAAGATGACAGCATCCATCCAAACTGCTCAGTGCTATTTTTTCCTCCATCTATAAATTCTGCACTGACTCAGTGCTGCTCAGAGCTTTGTAAGTGCACGTGTAGAGATGTTTTACAGTTGGCACGTTTCCTCCATCCTCTCTGAGTTACATGTTCTACGTAACAGATTATTTCTGTTAGAAGTCATTACTCTACCTAAAGCATTTTACAAGTGTTTAACTCTGTGTGTTTGGTGCAAATATCTGATTGATTCTGTTGCATGAGCGATTTTCTATTTCATTTGTTGTGTCTGTGTCTTGTGAAGTTGCTGTTAAGGTGGGTGTCCCCCCCGGCCTGCCCTTCCTTCCCCTATTAACAAAGGCCTGGCTTGGAGCTTGAATCATCTCCCACAGATACGTGGTGTGGACACAGTGCATGAAGGTTTTGACCATGCTAAAATTGACAGAAATAGTCTGATGTGCTCTTGACCGGTGTTTGCAGTCACACGTATTCTGAACTCCCAGGTCTGCTGTACTACGCGGGCCACGGCTACGAGAACTACGGGAACAGCTTCATGGTTCCTATTGATGCCCCAAACCCCTACCGGTCGGCAAACTGTCTGTGTGTGCAGAACATCCTCAAACGAATGCAGGAAAAGGAGACGGGACTGAACGTGTTCCTCCTGGATATGTGTCGGAAAAGGTACAATCTCATCAGTCATGAACAGCGAGAACTGATGCTGGATGCTTGAGGGATGTTTTTGCTTCCTGACAGAGGGCAAGGGTAAATGACTGCAGTTCTAGGAACCAGCTGTGATGTTCAGTTTATTCACTGCAGCAACATATTAAAACTGAACCTGTTTTTAAAATGAACAAATAAACTGGAACAGCTACTTTGAGAGAACAGCAAGGGATCCTGAGAGAGAGCTGGACTTCACACAGAGGAGAACTCCTTATTCTAGGCTGAGAATTCCCTGTACTTGGAAGCTCAGGGTTCTGAGAGTTCACAGCCTGCACCAGGGCACTCGTGAAGTCAACAGGATTCATTCCCAGATGGGCTTTGCCTTTGGCCTTGGGTGGGAACATGAAGCTGGTGATCAGACTCTCTGTTTCCATGGGCACATACTTGCCTCTTGGTTTGAATGACATTTCTTTCTCCTTTTTTTTTGATGTTTAAAAGTTATAAAACATCACTCTTACTAGATAGAAGTGAAGTTAGGCATCTTAAAGAAGAAAAAGGACCCTTTCCCTTTACATTGTTAACCATCTTCATCATTACAGGGAGGAAGGAGAAGCCGTATGACCAAAGGAATGTTAATTTGACAGCAGGGCGCAAGTGAAGTGCTTATTTTAGAACTCCTCAGAGGTGTGGATTTTGTGGGCTGCTTTTATGCTGGGGTTGTTGTATCTTTATTTAGAGCTTAAAAATCAACTGGTTTATCGGATTTTTCTAACCAAAGTACTATTTTCTTTCCATGTTTAGAGACTACTATGCCTGATTAAACTTGCACTTGAAATCAGCTTTTCAGTCAGCACTTCTGAAAATTCTCTCAGGAGTGTTTCAGAATAGAAAATCGCTGGTGTTTGTGGAGCCTCTGGTCTTCACTGCTAATGAAATTCCAGCCACCCCGTTCAGCTTCACAGTTTGCTGTCCAAATAGAAAATACGGCTCCATAAGCCTCATGTTACCCACGGAGACACCAAAAAAAATTGAAAAATTGAAAAAAATATTGGTATTGTTATAATCTAAAATGGCTAATTAACAGAAATAACTTTTCAAGAGCCAAACTCTGTTGGTTAATACATCGTGCCCTCCTCTGGGTACTGAGTGAGATCTGAGTGAGTCTTTACATTGTCTTCACAAAGTGTGGATGTTGCTGATTTTGTGTCTTCAAGCCATCAGGATTCATTCCAGAATTGTAGGAGAGAAAAAAATTACCATTTCTGAATGCTGCTTCTGGTGTTTTGAACAACTGTACAGCTTGTTACTGTTATTCATTTTCAAATTATTATTTTTCTTTTTTGTGTTTCCATTTGCTGCAGAAACGAATATGATGACACAATTCTTATCTTAGATGCCCTGAAGGTTACGGCCAACATTGTTTTTGGATATGCAACGTAAGGAAATTTTTCTCCTGTTGTGCCATAGAGGTTTTGAAGCCAGAAGTGACTCCTGATAGTACAGCTAATCTTCTACAGAAAAATACTAACTGTGGTGTTAAAGGGCCAGTAATTTATGTCCATATCTGTGTCCTGCTACTATCTTTGTTACTTAGTTCTTTGAATCATTCCACAGCCTAACTGACTGTGGAAATGCATTTGTAATGATGGCCAGCATTTAGTGTTCCCGTTCACATAGAGGGTAACTCCAGTGAGAACAGCAAACCAGAGACTGGGCTCCTGATCTCTTTAATGGTTATCTGCAAGAGGGCTCTACTCATCTAAGTATTATTTCTTAGAGATGAAAAAACCTCAGAGAAGAAAAAAGTAAATATTACCCAGACCCCTAATGTTCTGTTTCCTTGTGCCGATGGGGAGGGGACAGTTGTGTCCTGTGTGTTCCTCATGGTACTTGCTGCCCAGGAGCTTGGGCAGGAGGTCGAGTGCTGGGGAGCAGATGGTTAACTATAACCTACCTGCTGTACCCTCTTTGGTCACGTGTCTCCTCTGTTAATGCAAGTTACATTTCTAGAAAGAATGTGTTAGAAATACAAATTAATGAATTATTTGAGTAGTAGAATATAGATTGGCCCATGTGTTTCTCATTCTAGGTAAAGAATAAAGTTACAACTGCATTTGAAACTATTTGAAGAGGTTTAAATAACCTCCCTCTATCAGTTTTCAAGTCAAGTGCAAAAGTTGTTGAATAGAAGTAGACAAGAGCTTTACTCAAGTCTTCTGTGAGAAATTTAAGCTCCTGATATAAACAGTTTGACCTCAGCTGTGGTCTGTGACTTGTTTGCAAGTGAAATCTTCCCAGGATGAGGTGCTGGCAAATGAACACGAAAAGCAGGTGGCCTCAGACACAACCTGGTGTTAAAATTGCAAGGTTTCTTTCCCCCATTCCCAACACAACTTTGCTCCTTTTGTCCTCATGTCAATCATAATCCTGCAGATGGTTCCACATTTTTTCTGTGTCTGATATTGGTGATCTTGTAGGTGCCAAGGAGCAGAAGCTTTTGAAATTCAGCAGTTGGGGCTGGCCAATGGAATCTTCATGAAGTTCTTGAAGGACCGTCTGTTAGAAGACAAGAAGATCACTGTGCTCCTGGATGAGGTTGCAGAAGGTCAGCTCCAGCTTACTGTGTTAATGCTCTTCTCAGCCTGTTACTAACTTCTGTGCACAGATGCCACTCTGTTCCTGGCAAACACTGCTCTGAGCTCGCTCTTGTTGCATTCTCTTAAAATAACATCTTCTATCAAGAAGCAGGTGCTACTGGGCAGCACATTAACAAAGACCATGATATTATAAAGGGATTTCAGCTTCTTTAATAGTGATCAATTTTATACTCTCCTTTTGAGTGTATTTCTGCCTGGGAGAAGTGCTGAAGTGAAAACTGTTGAGCGTTGTTCAAATGTTTGCTTGAGACAGAACAGATATGGCCGTTAACAAGGAGCTGTCTCTGTTATTTGTAGGTAACATACATAATCAGCCAAGTTCTGCTGTATTTTCTTGGTGTGTACTTGGTGCAACTGCAGGTCTCAGGATTTTGCCCAGTCTGTCTTTTGACAGGGATCCAACAAGCAGAAAAAATCCAACAGGTTCCTAAATGCCCAGTGAAGTTCTGCTGTCACCAGGGCAGGCTGTGGAAAATGAAATGCAGAGATCAAGCTGACAGAGCTGCTGTCAGTGCTGTACTGAGGAAAGGGACTAGATGAAATACAAGCATGGAGTTTATGTCAAACTGATGGCCATAGGAGTCCAGCACGCCCCAGGATGTACACTGAAATGTAATGGTTTCTGGTGACCATCTGCATGTTTGTCTGGTGCATTTTCTCTGTCCTTTTGCAGCCGGTGCGCTGCTTGACTAGACCCCATAAAACACACTTGCCATGACTTTATCTTCAGTCTCATCTGTTAAGCTTTTCATGAAGTTTCCATGAAAAGTCAAATAACATTTCAGAAGATCTCAGAATTACCCTGAAGAAATAGGATCTGTAGGTGGTAAAACTGATGATTCCAAAGCCTAGGTCTGAAGTTTTTTGTTGTTTTGTTTTTTCTTTCCCCATGGGGTGATGCGTTTTTTCTTCTTTTGCCAGGTGCAGTCAAGCAGAGTGCTTTTTGCATTAAGATTTGTACTTTTTATTTGCCTACAGTACTGCTGAATGTTGCCATTACCTAAATCCAGAGGAACGATTTGAGGACTCGCTGTCCTCTCCTTCGCAGCGGTGAAACCTGGAGCTGGAGTTGTTTCCTCAAGCCCAGCAGCTCTAACAGGGCTCCTGCTGGGGGCTCACCAGCTGCTAGATTTAGGCCCAAATTCATTAAAGCCATCGTTCCTGAAGCCCTCTTTTGAAACAGACACTAATATCTTCCCTTCCCTTCATCTTTCTTGCCTTCTGGGACATTCTGACTGTTCCTGGTTTGTGAAAAGAGAACCCTGTAGCCCACCTGTGTGTGTACTGTGTGTATATTCTGCCTCCTTAGCTCTTATCCCGCATTCTCCCACCGTCGTGGCTTCCCCATAGGAACACATCATGTTTCTGCCAGCAGCTGGTTTCCATACACTTTCCCAAATGTCCTGTAAAACATGGCTGACTGTTGCTGCTTCGCCTGTGCTGCCAGGTTCTTGTCCTGTGCTATAGATGTTCTGACACGTGACCTGTCACTTGTCTCATTCTTGAGCTCACAGTGGAGAGAAGGACTGGCCTGACAGGCGATGTGACAGCCGCTGTCAGTGTTACCAGATACTGGGTGTTAGTGCATTGGTGCTCTGATGACACTTGAAAGTGTTCCATGTAAACAGCCTTCAATATTGCATTTTTTAATCACTTCGTAAATGGAAATTTTCCAGGATTTTTTAAATTCATTTTGCAGACCATCGGGTTTGACTTTCTGCATGTAGCAACACTATCTGAAAATGTCATCTTAAAATGTAATTGAACTAAATATAGAGAAACCCTAATAAATTGCAGACCGGTGAAAGTTGGAAGGCACCTCTGGAGACTGTCAAGCCCAACCCTGCTGCTCAAAGCAGAGTAAACTGGAGCTGGTTGTTCAGAGCTTTGCCCATGTGGGTTTTGAGTGTCTCCAAGGATGGAGACTCCACAGTCTCCCTGCACACCCTGCAGGGTTTGATCACTCTTAGAGTTAAAAGCTGTTCCTTACGGTTAAGTGGAACTTTGTCTATTTCAGTCTGCATCCGCTTCCTCTGGTACTGTCACTGGTCTAAATGGTCTTGGCTCTCTCAGCATCTTCTCATATGGCAGATGCTCCAGTTTCCTCATACTTCTGTTGTATGAGAGGTGTTCCAGGGCCCTCGCCTCTGTGAGCCTTCACTGCACTCTCTCCAGTATGAGAGAGTATTGGTGAGCCCAGCACTGGACCCAGCACCCCAGAAGTGGCCTCACTGGTGCTGGCCAGAGGGGAGGGATCATGTCCCTTGGCCCACTGGCTGCCTTTGCCACAGGAACACAGGGCTGGCTCATGATCAGTGTGGAGTCCTCCAGGTCCCCAAGGTCCTTTTCTGCAGAGCTGCTTTCCAACCAGTCTGTCCCCTTTCCATACTGGTGCCCACGTACAGGACTCAATGCTTCCTGTTCTTGAACTTCCTGGGATTCCTCTCTGCCTAGTTCTCCAGCCTGTCCAGGTCCCTCTGGGTGGCAACACAACCCGCTGGTGTATCAGCCTCTCCTCCCAGTTCTTAATCATCTGCGGACTTGCTGGGGGTGCACTCTGTCCTGGTATCCAGGTCATTAGTGACGGTGTCAGATAAACAGTATTGGCCTCCTTATCGACCCCTAAAATACTCCACTTGCCTCCAGTTCTTTAGAAATCGCCTCCAACAGTAATACTCATATGCTTGAAATTAGCCACTTTAATTAGGTGCTTACTGTGACACTGCTCAAACTGGTTTGGAAATGTGTGTGAGCGTGTTGCCAGTGCACAAGCAGAGCCCTCGGAACTCCCTGCGGGCGCCTGGGTGCTGCTTTAGCCCCAGGTGGGCACATCGCTGAGCGATAAATACTCTCAGAGTGTCGGTTTTGATGGCAGAGCTGGCACTGGCGTAACCATGGCAACCAGGGAGCACTGCAGGGATGCACTTAGTGTCATTCCAATCTCAGCAGCATTGATTTTGAGAGAAACCGTATGCATCTTATTTTCAGATATGGGCAAATGTCACCTTACCAAAGGCAAGCAAGCGCTGGAGATCCGCAGCAGCCTGTCTGAGAAGCGGGCATTAACTGATCCCATCCAACAGACCGTCTCTTCTGCAGAGTCTCTGGCACGGAACCTGCAGTGGGCCAAGGCTCACGGTACGGTACAGGCTGCTTTCACATCCTCCTCCTTGGGCCGTGGGGAACAAGGGGATGTGCTGCCGTAATCATCTCTAGTGGGTGGGGGGTGATACTGGATGGAAATGGAGAACAGTCAAGTTCCAATCTGAATCTTTGTTAGCTCTTGGAAACTTCTGTGCTGGGGTTCACCTCTAGGTGAGGTTTTAATGAAGAAGGGATTTGCAGAACTCATCCCGAGTAAATGTATTTAAGACCACTCCAACACTGCGAGGCTCCCAATAAGGGGAGGCTTCTTTGATGTCTCCCAATAGCCTGTTTGTGTCCAACAATGACACCTAAGACATGACTAATCTGTGAGATCACTGAACTGGGTGGTAAAAGTGCACGGTGAAAAGGAGTTTTCAACATATACAATTAAGAAAACTAAAATAAGGGTGAGATCAGTTCCAGGCTCTCTACACTTCTTTTAAGGAGGGTGATGCAGTTTAAAACCTTACTTTTTTTCACGTAAGTATGTTGGAGTGCATTTTAAAGTTTCTTTGACAGAGGTAGCATTTTTAAGACTTAACTACTCATGTCAGCAGCCCCTTTCACAGATGCAGGTTTTTGTTTGTGGAATCAAGCCCTGAATTCTTGTCTGTTAAATGGGTGAAATGCAAAACAAAAATTATAATGATACAATGTTATTTTATGGTTATTTGTTTTAAGCCGTGCATAGAAGAGAATGTGTTTGGAATTTGAGGAAAGAATAGCCTTTATATTTGTATAAAGGTATGTCTCTGCGGGAGCAGAGAAGTCAGGCACAGCACAGAGACCCAGGATGGTGGCAGTGACCCTTGAGCACCTCCAGCTGTGTTCCTGTGGATTGAGAAAGATCCAAAACATAACAAAGAGAAGTGCTGTGGGCTTGGGCTTTGTGAATGTGGGCAGAGGCTGTGAAAGGGAAAAAATAAACCTGAAACCTGTTCTGCTGTCAACTTCAAAGATTCTTATAATGCTATAGCTATCTCCTATGTATTGGATATATACTGTATTGACCTTACTGATCTGACAATAGGTAGGGAAACAAGTTCTGGGGTCAGTAAGCTGTATCCTAGTGTCAGTAAATGTTGCCCTGCTCCTTGCACAGGAACTGGAAAGAGACCTGTGAGGCAGAAGTGGGGTCAGGTCTCTCCAGCAGTGTCTGCCAGTTCCCCCTCTGGTACCAGCAAACAGCATGATGCCCGCTGGGCTTCTGAACTGGTTTGCTTCAGTCTAAATAGATAAGTGATAGGTAGAGGGGAGGGCAAGAGGAAGAGGTCTACACCTTTTAAAAACTTCTGAATTTAAAACCAAAATTTAAAAATAATAGAAAATATATATGTTGAGTTTTATTTAGAATGTAATGATGTGTTACTGATTTGCAGAGCTTCCAGAAAGTATGTATCTGGAATTCAAATGTGGAGTTCAGATCCAGCTGGGGTTTGCAGCCGAGTTCTCCAACGTCATGATAATTTACACGAGAATAGTAAAGAAGCCACCTGAAATAGTAGTTTGCAGAGCCTATGTCACAGACTTCCCACTCGTAAGTGCTTCCTGCTGGCATCTTGGGTATCTCCTTCCACTGAACTTGAAAACTATCCACTCTGTCTGTGTCAAACTGCATCTTTTGTCATAAAATGGGGCTGAACTGTTGAAATCAGGTGCCTACATCTAATTTTTTTCGTGTCTATTTTTAATATATATAAAAATACATTCAAATGAATCTGAGCTCATTTTTTTCAAAGTCTCCCTTATTTTTGTCTTAATATCAAGTATTTGTTACATTTAATGTAAGATGGTAAACATCAGTAGCTGCAATGTGAGCTGAGGACACATCTACCTGCAGGACAAGGGTTCTTAACCTTCAGTTTTAGAGTCCTTTGCAGCGGGGTGATCCTGTCCAGTTCCATTGGTGTTACTCAGCTGATTGTGGTAGCGTGAAGGGTAAACCAGAAAGCTCCTTGGGACAAAAAACCTTCTTTTTTGATGTCTGTGAAAGAGGACATGGGGCAGAAAATGGGACACTTCTGATGCTTTATGACTAAAATATTTATGTGCATAATAAATGCATGTATTTTTAGCCCACAGAATTAGTGTTGTAGCGCTGTGCTTCACAGTAGAAATTGGGTACAAAAGAGCAGCCCTGAAGTGAGCACAGCAAGTCTGACAGGAGCCATGAGCAAAGAAGGTGACCTCTCCAGCGTAACCCCTCTGTCTGCCACTAACAGCAGTCTCGCAGCTTCACAAGGAATCCAAGATTGGTAGTTTCTTTCCTTTTCAGAAGAAGGAAATGCAGACTTTACAGAAGGAAGTACTGCTAACTATCTCATGATCTACAGATTCTGTACCTTCAATTAAGTTCTCTTTTCTTTCTCGCACCAGGACCTGGATGTGGATCCTAAGGAGGCCAATAAAGGGACTCCCGAGGAAACTGGAAGCTATTTAGTATCAAAGGATCTTCCCAAGCACTGCCTCTACACCAGGCTCAGCTCACTGCAGAAACTACGGGTAAGATACATGTCATTCGTCACAAGTTTAGATTAATCATGCTGCTTTGCAGTTCTGTTGAGGTAGTTGCGTATTGTCTGCTTAAGTAACGTGTTCTTCAGAGGGAAAAATGGCAAATAGCACCATTTTAGTGACTTTAGCTTCTTAGCTGAAAACCAAAAGCCAGGGAGTCAATGCACGCGCAATCGTGATGCCGTTGTGCGAGGCACTCTGTATTTCCTAGGCCTGTACTGAGCTTTGACAAGATTATTTCGGTGAAGATGAGCTATTGCACTGTGGGGACGTTCCTGTGCCCGGTAGCACCAGAGGAACGTGACCGGAGGCACATCTTACAGAGTCATTAGCAGGAGATGTAAACGTTAGTTTATCTCCCTCCATCCCGCCCTGCTCTTGAGCGTGCAGTGTTTGGAAGGGTCTCCCTTCAGCTCACCATGGCACTCCACTGAAGAGTGTGTCTGTGTGCCACACGCATCTGTGCTGGATGTCACTTGGTACCTCCTCTTCACTGCTTTTGGCAGCTGCTGTAATGCAAGTGCTTCTAGAAATACAGACTGCTAGGTGAGCCAGTATTAACCAAGAGAGGTCCTCAGTGACCGAATCTTTGCTTAAAAAGGTTGGTCTCCTTCTCCAGGAGACTGTGCCTCTTGAAGTGTTTCCTACATTTATTGGGGGAGTAAGTGTAACATTCTTTTTATTTTTATTCCCCCCTCTTTCCACTTTTGCAGGAACACCTGATTTTCACTGTTTGCTTACACTATGAGTATCCAGGAATAGAAGATACAATGGATGAAAGAAAGGAAGTTAACGTTGGGAAGCCCCTTATTGCTAAATTAGGCCTTCATCATGGATTCAAAGCCAGTAACTGTCTCCAGACCTGTTGCGTGGCTAATAACCCTTTCCATAATCAAATCGAATCGAGTCCAGCGGCAGCTCAGTACTACGTCCCCACTCATTGCCAGCCCAGCTCCTGTCCGGGCATTTACCAGCCGACCCGTGTTTGCCCAGGCAGTGCCAGGCGACCTGAGGTGTGTTCCTGCAACGGGACTTCACAGATATTAGCTTCAAGGCATGAAGTACGGGATTACTCCCCCGCAGTGGAGAACAGTAATGTACCAGTAGAGACTACAGATGACACTGTGGAACTGGAATTCCTTCTCTCAGACAGCCTCAGCTTCTCCAAACAGCAGTAGCTGCGATGTCAGAAAAGACCAGAGCATCACGTTGAGCAGGGGACCTTCCACGCTGCTCGTCCACCTTCGGGAGCTCGGGGGCTTCAGGACAGCAGGGCTGGAGGTGGTACTGGAAATCAGGTTACGATGAACATTTTTCACACCCAGAGAGATGTAGCTGGACTGGTAGATTTAGAAGTGAAAAAGTCTTGATTTATATTTTTTTTCTCCTACCGTGTGGCATTTGATAGAGGGAAAAACCTGAGGTTGGCAGAGGTTGCTGTTCCACTCTCTGGCAATCAAGCAGCTGACGAGCAGAGGGAGGAGGCTGCCCCCCTCCATCAGGGGCCCAATGCAGAAAAGCCTGGCTGTGGGGTCTGAGGTTCTCTTGAGACAGTGAAGCCTTGGCTCTTCCCAGCTCCCTCTCCAGTCCCTACTGGAGTTACAAGATTTACTGTAAATGCATGTTTCACAAATCTGTTTTCAGAGGGGAATTGCTCATTCTATACAGAACAGGACAAACAGGTATAGCTGTCTGAGGAAAAAATACTGACAGAATTAGGAAAATTAATTTCTATGTCCCCTATGATTTAACATGATTTTTAAAAATCCATTGGTCCCAAAATGATAAATACACCTTTCTCTCTTCCATCTGTCAGTTTCAGTTGTTCAATGTCCAGGGATTTCTTTTTAGATACTGCATTAAAACAAGGTTATATGTGTTTTAACAGCCTCCTCTTGAGTACATAAGATGAGACCTGACTATCTGATTTCTGGAAAGGTGGTCTTTTCATTTCTGGAAGAACACTAAATGGCAATGTGAAGTAAAAGTGCCTGTTCCTAGGAAGCCACGTATTGTATAGGTAGTCACGCAGCAAGACATGCTGAAGGCTAAAAATGAATGCACAAGATGAGTGAGAACTTGGGGGCTCTTCAGGCTGAAGCACAAAGATGGTTTTCCTGGGCACCAGCCACTGCTCTTCTGGGGTGGTTTTAAAAGATGAACAAACCAACCCTACTCGGTTGTTTTCCAGGCCAAATGAATTTATAGTCATTCAAGTAAAAATGCTAAAAGTCTACCCTTAAACTGTGAAAATCCCAGATAAAGATTCCAGCACCCACAGACTGCAATTACAGAGGCTAAAGCCACTTTAGGTGAGGGACACTGGTTCCGGGTCACAACCTGACATGTTGTATGTAGCCCTGCACCTGTGCCTTGGCTCCAGAGTCCCTCCCCAGGTAAGATGCCAGAAGTCAGTTCCTCTTCTGGGTCCTTTGACCTCCCAGCCCCAGAAGGTGGCTGTTTGGCAGAGGCTCCTTCAGCAGATCCCTCGCTGACACCCAGCTGAGCCACCGTCACACAGTGTTGTGCTGCTTTGGGGAGCAAAGGGAACAGACAGACCCAGCTTGGGGGAGCTGCCAGGCACCTTGCATGTGGCAAAATGTTTTCATCTGTCTGGAGGAAAGGGCTGTTTTGCTCACCAGGCTGTTTTGGGTATTCAGGTTGAATAGTTTGGTCAAAAATACACATACATTTTCTTAACGTTTGGTTTTGTTTCAGGATGCTGAAGAATCTGTGACTTGCCATTGTGTATCTGGGGACAAGTGGGAGAACACTGATGTTTTATTAGTTCTTAAAAAGCCTTGACGCTTTGAAAGCCTGAAAATATCACGGTGTGAGGTAACTGAAATCCAAGGGAATTTTCAGATATGTCTAGCAGCCTTCCCTGCCCAGGTAACGCTGATAAGCACTATTGTTTTAATTAAGATCCCCATCATGAAATAATTTTTGCTACTTTAGTAAAATTCTGGCAGTGCTTTTCATGAAGTAGGTAGCAACAGATAAAATAATGGAGCCTCATTGACGTGGTGGACAAACCAGTTTAAATCTCTGGTTGAGATCAGCCCTTCTGGAGGGATGTGTCAGTCTCACGGCCCGGGGAGGTGCTGGATGGGGTCATAACCAGTGCCAGGTGGGAACAGTAACACATTATTAACCATGGCTGTTGATCTTCATGTTCCTCTGTGCCAATGTATGTGGATTTTAATGTAGTTATTTCCAAAGCAACAGCCGTGCCTGGAGTAATCCCCAAATGAGCTTGATTTCTGCCTTTCTCCTTTGGAGGGTATTAAACAGTGCAGTATTTATTGATGAGTGAGTGTACCTGTGCATTAATTATCCTGTGTAATTGACTTAAAAATGAAAAATTAGATGGTCCAGTACTGTAATATTAAGATGATACTTTGTTGCAGTTTTTTAAATTGTATAAAAGCTCATTCTGTTTCTTTCTGTGTAACAAACTGTTGTCCACAAAACAATCTCTCTGTGCATATATAGTTGTCTTTGCTTCTCCCAGTTTAAATCCTCCAGACGTTTTGAAAACAATGCATATAATAAAATAGTTTCCTTAACAAAAAAGAAGGGGAAATCTGAATCATGAGCTTCAGCTCAAGTTGAATATATCTGCACCCTGTGCCTGTTCAGGTTTCTCAACAGAAATTTTTTTTTGCAAGTTTTTATGCCTTCTGGCATCCCACTGTACCCGTGGCTAAACCTGAGTGATGCTTCTCCAGCGCTTCACAGGTATCCCAACGAGTTTCAGTAATACTGGGGCAATTTCTTTGAGAAATGGGGATAGAGAAAGAAATCAACTATTAAGCAGAAGTTGCCCAGAGGGAGGCAGTGTCACTCGAGTTCCCTGTCCCTGCTTTTGTCAGGTAAGTCTCCAACCTGCCATGCAAACGGCTGCACCACACATGAGATCAAACACCCAGGGTTCTTCTCTGTTCACATCCTGTCTCCCTGCTCCTCAGCTTTCCTCCTTCCTTCTCCCTGCTGCTCAATACCAGCTGCACCCACGGGACCAACTGAGGACTGGTCCAGAAATTTTTAAGAACTTCTTTGAGACTGTCAGAACATACAAAATTTAGTAATTTTTTGGCTGTAAGAGGTGTTGCCACCTCTCAAGGAAGCACAGAGTACTACAGAGTATGGATTTGCTGATTCTCACAGTTGTGTAGGTTTTGCTTTCTGCCTGCCTCAGCGATGCGCTGGAAACTGCTGCAGACTCTGCTGCAGCTGCCAAGAAACCACTTAATTTGAAGCGCTCATTAGATTATCAGCTCTGCCTTTAGTGGAAATAATGGGTTCACTTTAATCGGAGGATAGCTGTGCTCCATACCAAGCCCTGTATGTGCCCTGGCAGGCAGGGGCGGGGGGCTGCTGGCCCGCTGTGCTGTACTCTCAGAAATGGGGGGCTGGCTGAAGGTGGAGCGGGTTTTGCAGCACCTAAATCTGCAAAGGAGCAGGGACTGATCATCCCTTAGGGCAGCAGACTCCCTGCTGATTCCTGGTAGTCCTGGAGCCCTCTAAAACAAGGGGTGCTTTTGGTGGGTGAGGCTGTAACAGCTGTTTTTTCCACTGAATACCTGGTGGTGTGTGTCTGTGGAAAAATCTCATCTTTTACTAGTGTGACTGGGCTGCTGTGCTGATTTTGTGCAGCTGCACACTCTCTAGTGGGTGAACGAAAGTGTAGAGCTGCTGAGGGAGGCACAGCCCTGCAAGGTCTCCCCTTTGCCACCTGTGATGCTAAATCCACATTTTTCAATGCCCGTGTCCCTCAGCAGCTGCCAGGGACCTTATCTCCCCCCAAAGCACATTTATGAGCCAGGCTGGGCTTGCAGACCCTGCTGCGCTCACCCTGAAGATGAGGTGGGGGATTGGGGTGAGGGGAACAAGAGGGAGACGATGGAGTTGGGATGTGAACAGAAAAAGTGAAAATAGAAAAGAAGTGAAAAAGAAATGCTCAGCACTTTTCAGTCTCTCCTCATACCAGCTGGTGCAGCTTGACAAGAAACTGACCTGACACCCTCTGAGAGCTCCCAGGGCTGCACTAACTGTCATATATAAAAACATCTGGATTCTTCACAGAAGTTTAGGGGAGCGCAGGTGGGCTCTCTGAGTGTACCTGGTTTGTGGATGGTGGAGTAGTGACTGCCTGGGACATGAATCTGTCCTTGCCCTTGGCTGTGAGGCAGTGACAGACACTCTGCTGGTGCTGGAGCAAGGGAACGAGGTCAAACCCATCCCAAATGAGATGGGAAGAGCAGCGCATGTACTCAGGGTGCACTAGGCAACAGGAAGGAAAAGTGGTGGTTTAAAGCTAATTATTATCTGTCCGCTTGGTCAAAACTGGGAGTTGACTTGTGGTTTGAGTGTATATATATATATATATTCACTACAGAATTCAACTCATCCAAGCCTTCATGGTCATTTCCAGTTCTTTAGTGGCTGTGAAGGATGAGGGGTTCAACCCTCACTCAGCTATTGTCTTTCCATCAGCTTCTCTTTTCCTTTTCTAACCCTGATGAGCCCCATGCTCAGCAGTGCTCCAGGCGTGCTTGGGCACCCATGGGCTCCCATCATCTCCTTTTATAGAACAAATGATTGTAACTCCTCATCTCTGCTGATAGCAATCCAATAATCACTTTTCTTTATAAGCCCCAATAAACAAATCTGGGTGGTTTTTTCCCCACAAATGGAAAACCTCTGTCTGACGTCAAGCAACAAACATTTCCCTTTCTTAACAGATTATGACAGTAAAAAAAGATAAAACCAGGTTTGTTATCTAAAGGTTCTCAAGAGAAATAACTGCCCATTCTCAACTAATTCTATTTAAAGTTATTTTCCTTTTAGACTCATTAGTTACAATATTGTCTTATTGCTACCATCTTGGTGCTAGTCAATAGTTATAATACAGTTAATATATAATAATAGCTGTCTTGAGAATGATATTAGTAATACTTTTACATATACAAGTGATACTGAGTCATCAGTGGCAGCAGCTTCTCAAATTAGCAGATGGTGGCTCTGTAAGAAAACATGTTTTCTTGCCTTACCCCTCAATTTATTCCCAGCCTGAGCAAAGATACCCAGGTAGTGGCATCTGTTGAGGTAATATTTCCTGTTAAATTCCATCTGCCTGCCAGATCTGGAGACATTCAAACTATGGGATGTATACGGTACAAAAGGTATAATTAGAATTTTGATGTATCACAAACTGGAGTTGGTTTTAATTATACAAGACAGGCATTTTTGGACAGCTCTAAAATGACTACAAAAATGTGGTGAGTGGAGAGACGATGCTCAGCAGGTGACTTTGCTACCTCCATTATTATTTGCACGGATGCAGTGTAAAATGTAAATTTTTGCCTTATCTGAAGCCAAGCTGTTTCCTGCAGGTTGGGCTTGTATAGCTGTTTGCATTGCTCCCACAGGGGGTGGAGGGAGGCTCTCAGAAGGGGTCAGTCCCATTTCTCTCCTGGGAAGGCTGTGCCGTGGGGTTGGAACCTGCCTCGTAGGCGTGAGAGGCTGAGCGGGGCGTACATCAGGCTTTGCTGTTACCCTCCTGTTGTTATCACAAGTCTGTAACTCACTCACAGAATGATTTTTACCCATCTTTAATGGACAAAATGATAAAAAAACATCTGTGAGGTTACCTTCTCTTCCAAAATTAGGAGGGGCCCCGCTGCTAGCCCCAGCTCTGCCTGCCAGGGTGAGAGGTGGGACTGTAGGTGAGGGCACTGCCCATGCTGGGGTCCCCCATGGGTCCCCGCTGGCTCGGATCCCCAGTGGGGCCAGCCCTGACCCTGCTGCACCCACAACTACCTCTGAAACCTCCTGCTGACTTCTTTAAAACCTTGCTTACCATAAGAGTAAACACTGGATGCCTTTAGGTGGGAACTCAACAGAACTCAACGGTCTCATTTTGTGGACTTTCATACCAAACTTAAATTTTTTATTCAACTATTTAATTTTCAGTATGATTTCAACGGGGTTTTTTTTGCTTTATACCTCCTTCAAAGTACTCACCAGGCTCACAGGGACTGCCACATGCCACCAGCTGTGAGAGCAGGACTCGTGGTGAGGGCTCCAGCCCCCGCCAGGGGCCTCAGCCACGATGCTCTGGAGATGCTGCTGTCACCTGGTGCCTCTTCACCCCCCCTCCCTCACACACAGGGTAACACACCATTAACACCAGTAATGCTGTTGTTCTTTGACTGTCCAGACCCACAGTTGGAAGCCCTGTGATGCCCGGCTGGGACCACTCACCGCAGCAGTTGCCAGACCCGCCGCCAGATGTCAACGCTCTTCTGCAGAGAGGCTCCCACCGCTCCTCAGCTCCTCCTCCGCCAGACACAGATTTTCTTTTCCTGGCAAGAATGTGGGTAACGGTGAGAATTCCAAGTACTGCACTGTTAAGGCTATGCTGTGTAAGGAGTGTTTCTGAGAACTTCAATTCCACTACAATACTGTGCAAAGGAGGCCTTTCTGTGCAACCAAAACCTCCAAGGGTTTCCCCAGGGTTGCTGCCCCAAGGGTGACACGTCCCCTGCGGGCCCCAGGCCACATCTGCCACCTCGGGCGGTGCTGGGGGGCAGGAGGAAACACAGGGGTTGGGGACTGCACGGCGAGGTGCGGGTTGCCATGAAGCTGCAGATGCTGAGCCTGAGTTGCCAGCAAGGGCTGGGGAGGGGGCAGCGGGTGCGTGGGAGGAACATGATTTCTGAGAGGGGACAAAGCAGCAGATACCCCAGGTGTGAAACGGTGGATTAGCCCCTGCAGACAATGTGTGCGGGTCCTGAGGGGGGCCGCTGCCCACGGCGGGCTTGTAATCTCCCCAAACAGCCAGCCATTAGCCACAATCTAATCGGGGCTGGGCAGAGCCCAGCATTGTCACCGGTGACAGCAAGGGATGCCGTACCGATGGGTAACGGGTGGCCATCGTACTGCACAGGAAAAACACGCTCATTTTACGGGGGGTAACCAGGGCAGAGCAGCTGGGGGTGGCAGCACATCGCCGGCCCACCTTGTGTCCCACTGGGAATAATACCCTGTCACCAGGTCCCCTCCAGCGAGATAACTACCCTCTATCTCTTTCTTTCACATCAAACAGACCAAAGGAGCCACACCACCTGCCCTTCTGTACAAAAGAGGGAAAGCCACCAGGGGCTACCAATCTCTCTCAAAGGCAGCTTAAAAAAATGTGCATTTTGGGGTAGTGCCAAAGCCCAGCAAGGATTTCAGTTCACCGGTGAGGACAGGAGATGTAGCATGAGCTCGAGGACTGTCTACAGCAGACCTTAGGTTCCTAGGGGGTGGTGGAAGGAAGGAAGGAAGCCAACAAGCTATTAATGCTACTGAGGAACCACAACAGGAGCATTATTTAAGTCTGCAAACCTGCAACCTTCCTTAGAGTTCCCTCCGGGTGGTGGCTGCAGACATGTCATTTTCCTCAGAAAACTGTGGTTACAGCATTTTGAGGAATTGGATGTTTTCTAGCCATTTGTAAAATCACATTTTCTTAAAATGGTCATGAGGGGAAATGATGTGTATAAGAGCGAAGGGGATTCAGGGATATTCTTTTTATTATTAACCATTTAACATAAATATGAGCCTGCCAATATTTCAAATATTCTGCATTTAATCCAGGGGTTTAAATCAGTAGAGAGAGAGTTTAATACTCAAATGCAAACTATGTGTGCATTTCTCCCACATCTTATCCAAAGTTATTCCTGCTTTTGATTTGACTCATGACCAGGTCTGGGTGTCTATTACTGCTCTCGGGCAGCTTTTCCTGTAACCTGACACACTGGTCTGCTCTCCTGGTGCTCGAGTTCCAGTTTGCTTTCCCCAGCACCCTGCTGGCCCCTTGCCCCCGCCACAGCCCAGACCCTGCACACACCAAAACACCAGTCACACAAGCCCCAGTTTGGGGGACAGTTTACCAATCGCTGAGATTTTAGGGGCTTGTTCATCTTTATGGCAGCAGAAAAGCAAGTTTTCGATACAGAAAGTAGTGTTGTTACACAAACTAAACGGAATTTGTATAATCCTGACTCATCCTCTGTAGCCTTTGGTGGTGATGAATCAGATGTCCTTCCTCCAGCAGGAGACACCAAGTACCAGCCCTGAGAGTCTGAGATTACTTGAAAGATTTGCAGGCTGTGCTGGCTGCAAATCAGCAAGCCGCCTTTATTTTTATTCTTACTTCAATTGTAGGAAGAACATCACGGGCAGCTCGAAATCAGCAACCACAGGCCGGCTCAGCTGCTGCTGACATCCTCATCCGTGAGGACAGCGTTTCCTGAGGTAAACAGAGGAAAAGGAGCAGAAAAATTGCTCTTGCTGGAAACAGCGCTGCACCAAATTGAGCTCCTTCCAGCTGCAGAGGTTTCCGAATTGGCTGCCGGTGGCTTTCAATTAGTTCTTCTGATGACTTGCTCAGAGCTCAGTTCTGGATGCTTCGGATTCCCCTTTATCCTTATTTTATCATGTGTACGTATTTATTCCATTTTGCAGGGTGGGCTCTGGAAAGGCAGAGGTAAAAGCGCTGGTGCCGCGGGCAGCAAGTGCACAGCTGAACTGTGGAGGGGCAGTCACGCCGCAGGGCTGGTGGCAGCGGGTGGCTATGTCCCAAAAGGAACAGCCTCCTGGGGCCCATTCCCCGCTGCTCCGTGCCAGCCTGCCCAGGAACCCAGCCAAGTAGGCATGTAGAGCACTCCACGTATTCTGGGTTGAGTTTCACAAGCTCATTGCCACCATGAGCCAGCTACGCAGCATCCCCCGGTTCCATAGATACAAGTCTTCCAACATCTTCTCACTTTCTAGCTTTCGGAGGAAGAAGTATCTGGAGCAGTGGATGGTGTCGGCCTCTGCTCACGCAGATGAGCCGTAGCTCTGAAACAGCAACAGCCACCAAACTTTGCAGCACGTGATGGCACAGAAAGACAAGGCATACGTAAATGATCGTAACTGCTAGCGGTTTTCTTTTTATGTAATTTACTCCATTGCTTGAGTACTTCGGTAAGATATATAATGAAAGATTTTTCTATTCTGAGAAAATTGTGTTAGATGCTGTCTGAAACAAAATCTAAGTGTTGCAAAAATGCTTCCCCTCCTCGTCCCATTTGTAAGATTCCAGCCTCGAGAGAAGGTGGTCCCAGTGTCAGAAGGTGCCCTGCGGAAACTCCACCCGCAGCTCCTACAGGGAGTCCCTGAGGAGGCCACCCATCCCCTGAGAGCGAGCGAGCCAGAGAGTGTTGTACCTGACACGGCACTTCCTGGATATTACAGTAAAAAATCATCTCCCCACCCCGCATTTAGGTTCAGCTCCATTCTCTGGCTCCCAGCGCTGTGCAAATGCAGGTGAACACACAGCATTCAAATAGCTGTTGATAGCACCATCTGCAAAAGGCTAATGGCTCATTCATTAAGCAGTGGGAGCCAGCACAGCCACAGCCTAATCAGATATTGTATGATGAATAATTCAGAAATAATCCTCGTATACTTGAATAAATATCAGGAGAAGGAAGGAAAAAACCCCCATACACGTGGCACGTTAAAGGAATAAACCAGACATCTTTCAATGTCCTAGGCTGATGAGCTTTGTTCTACTGGATGTTAATCAGGCAGGTGGCTAATGCTCGACGAGAAAGCTGACTGAGGGGGTTCTGGCCCAGCACTGGGAAGGTGTTAGTGAGCGGAAAAGACCAAAGTGCTGATGGGAAAATCCATTAGCCTTACATTTGGCAATATGCCTGTGCCCTCTTGTGCCACTTGCTGGTGACAGAAGATGGAGTTTGTGAGGTGACAGCTGGGAAAACCCAGGTCTGGCCTTCTGCTGTGTGTGCTCCCCATGCTGCTGGACAGATCATTTGGATCAGGCGTGGGGTGTCCAAGACATTCTTTAAATCTGGGGGAAACTGCCCATTGTGGAGACGTTAGTTCCACCGCTGTGGGCAGTGTTTGCTGGAGGCACAAGCACAGACGATGCCGCAGTTACGATCTGAACGCTCCCTGCCCCGCAGAGACTGCCCTAAGGTTATGCTCTTACATTGCCCCTGCCCTGAGACTGTGTCCATTTATCCTGGGTTGTATCTCTCCTTATCCACTCTTCTATTCCTCTGGTTTCTCTGGAAGACAGTCAGTCTTCAAAGCCAAACAGGGAGAAAAGGCCAAGGAAGACAGCTCAACATTGAAGAAAAAATCTGTAGTTAAGAATGGGTTTCAACAGATTTCTCACTTTCTGACCATGTCTACTTCAGCATCATTTTCAAGTATGTATACACTATAGGTGGGCATAGATAAATATTTACGAGTTATACTTGCCCCATGCATGTTTCAACTGTAGTTTGTTGTGGTCGCTGCTTACATTTAAACTGTGCAAAACTCCCACTGTTCTGAGCCAGACGCTGGTTATTTGGGTCAGGAAGTGCCTGTACCAGAGGTAAGGGCAATATAAAACCAGTTGATGGCTGCTGAGTGTACGTCCAACCCATAACAGCAACAACAGGGACCCTTGAAAGAGGCAACCACCGATGGGGAGAATGTCCCCTGAAGATTGGAATGGCAGATGGGACTGTCCACACTCCCTGTGCCTCTTCTGCTCTGTCATCCTCCGCTCACCGTCCAGAGTGACTTTCAATAATGAGGACAAAATCCTGACCAGTCCTGCCTGGTAGTTTTCATGGTGTAACCAGACCCGAGAGAGACCAACACTGGATCCAGCGATTTATCTTCTCCAAACGGCTCTAATTTTTTATGTTGCAACACAGGCATAGCCACAAAATTATCACAGAGTTGGACAATTTGCAGATTAAAAGTCCTCTTGCTTCCTAAATTAAGCAGCTATTCATACATTTACGTGAGATCTTCATTAACCTTTAACGAGTGGAGTAAAAGTCATTTCGCTACCCAACAAATTTAAACCCAACTTGTAAATCACCTTTACTAAATAGTAAGACCTCTCTCACCAGACCAGAGCTTACACTGCAGGGCTCACCTTCTCTGCCACTGTAGTTCTGCTATTACTGACAATTCCATGCTCTTTTTTCTGAGCTAATCCCAGTGGAAAAGGCAAACTGCATTGCTTCTGCAGAATATTCTGGAGAAGAGCTACCAAACTATGTTCCCAAAGTCTAGTAGAATTGGCACACATTTTAATTATTTTGGTTTTAAAAAATGAAAGCTAAAAGCCAACTCATCCTCAGCTCACGTATTTACTTTTGGACGACCAGTCAGGCTCCATCCTCCACAGAGCAGCAAACCCATCCCTGCAGCACTTACTTGTGATTTCCATTCAAAGTCACCCTAGATATTAATTTTTACTCGACCTCAGTAGTAGTTAAGATGTATTTTGACTCTGGTTATAGATTTCTCCCCACCAAAGTCCTTCATCTCATCTCATCTGAGATCCTTTTCTTTTAATAAATCTCATCTTTCTAAAAGCAATCCTAGACAGTTTAGTCCAAAATACAATAGGAGACTTATTTTAATAGCCAGGAAAGGAAATTGGGTTTTTTTTCCCAAGAAAATTTCTAGAGAATAGTAATAAGAACATCTGAAAAAGGGGAATTTTAGATGTAACCCGGTGTTTTTAATACTGAATGTTTAAATATAGCGATTAAAGAAAAGTACTGTTGCATTCTGAACAGTGATATAAATATATGTATTCTAAAACAAGAAATGCTCTAGTGGGTAGTATGATACAGGACATTTTACAGTGAAAACCAAAAAAACCAACTGAATTAACAGATAGTATTAAGAATTTGTCAGAAGCTGTAAAGCTCTTAGTCTAAAAAAGAAATTTAGGATTGGAAATACGGAATCTGTATTTTACCCTTCTAGTTTAAGCTAAGGATGTTTCACGACTCATGAAGGAAATGTTTGGTTATTGAGTAAAAACAACAAAATTGGGGAGGAGTGTCAATCCACCTGCAAAATCATCTTTGGCCCCAGCACATTTTTGATATGTAAAAGCTATGTTTGTAGCTATTCTTATCTGATAGAGTTAAAACTGATTCCTATGCAGAAAGTGTGGGATGAATGCATCACATTTTAGAGTTCTGGATTTCAAGAGCCTTAAAATCCTTAAGAAGTTAAATAATTAAGAAGTTATTATGGCAGACGAGTTCAGCATTCACTGCAGCATCAAAGGGAAACCGTTTGGAATTGGCAGCACTCCTTGCTGCCTGCTGAGAATTAACAGTGGGCTGGTCTTTCTTCAGGGAAAAGGAAAGGTGGGGTTAAAATTCACAGTTCCCGGAGAATGAAATACCTGGTACATGACCCGGTAGCAAAGTTCGCAGCTCTGTCAGTGCAGGTGCCCAGGAGATCCCTTCTCAGTGCTGTTCCAGAGTGGAAGTGGAAGGAAAACACCGGTGGTTTCATTTGTCATGACTGAGACTCTCCACCACGACGCCAGCTGTGTCAGAGGCTTCACATTGCAAAGCCAATGGAGAAAAAACAATCATCTTAGAAAACAGTAATTTCTTCCTCCACTGGTTCTAAGGGCTATATGGCAGTGTCTGTGGGGACTGGCCGGGACCTCTATTTCAGACACTTGTCACCTGATACAGAGGATCAGGGTATCAGCTCTGCGTGCTGCCAGCAATCCCTCACAGCCAGGGCACCAAACTTCTGGCTGCCTGCAACATGGAAAGGAAGTACTACAGGATGGAGTCTTCAGGGGTGGGGATTCAGCAGCTGCAGGGAACTGAAACTCTCCTAATTCATGAGTTACGTCCTGTAAAGCCCCAGCTGCTGAGAGGGGATAAAGCCAGGTACTCCAGTTCCCACCGCTGGAAAGGCTGGAGTAACCTAAAACCAGCTGTTGCCTGTCCAGCAGCTATCCGAAACAGCTTTATCTGTGGAGTGACAGCACTTGAAATGACTTAAGGACTATTCCAAGATGTAAGGTCAACATTCTAAAAAACCTACCAAAGCCTCCCAGAGCAGAAGTGACACTGTAGGGACACTTGCATTGCAATTGCCTGCTATTTTGTGTTTGAACTGAAAAGCCATTGGAGAAAAGCTATCAGCCTGGCACCACTTGTAAATGACACTTAGAATTCTCTTCATTTTATTTTTTGAAAGTCAAATACTTAGGGTGACAGACTTTTTCTGCCATAAAGATGTCAAGGACACCTGGCTAGAAGGAAAACAAGTAAATCTGCCTGAAAGGCAGCATGCATGAGTATCTTTGCACCATGTATAAACTGTGAAACCTATTAATGTTTCAGGTATTAATACAAAAGTAGTAGTAGCAGCTGCCATCTCCTTTATATTATCATGCAAGACAGCCACAGAAATACAATGTAAGAAAACAGCCTGTAGTTCACCTTTTTTATCAGATCAGTTTACTAGTTAATTGGGAAGAAATAGGGGGTTATAAAAATTACGGCCTAATTCTGCAAGTCACTTGGAGGATGAGTCCTAGGCTTGTTCCTAGCCTTGGAAGCTGAATTTCACGGCCCTTCCTGAACATTAAAACTAGTGCAGAACACAAATCCATTTATTTTTTTATAGAAATCCACAAATCAATTTATTATATCCAAATTCTACACACTTGTCAGGCTCACCGATTGCCCCAGCTGGCGATGGAGTGTTTTGCTGTCATGTTGGTTAATTGGAGTAGGTCAGAACTCATGGCTGGTGCTGTCTGGTGTGATGTGGTGTGGTGTGAGCCCACTGGTCCCTGTGCCCAGAGCTGCTGGTGGGTGTCCTCCCCCAGGAGCCCTGCTGGAACCACCCAGCCTTGGCAGCTTTGCTGTTGTATCAACAGGCCTGTAAGAGATGGCAATAAAACATCATTACCTCAAACAGAATATGTGGTTATTGTCCACATAGCCTGTAAAAAGCAAGCTTATAGCATGAACTTGAGAGGGGTGTTGTCGTGGCCTGGGCCGGATTCACATGCCAAGCTTTGAATCCCAGAGACCATGCCGCACACTTGTGTAACAGGCTGTCCCAGGGCAGAACGAGAAGAAATATCATAGTAAAATGTCTAACAATGGTGTTACCACCAGGTTGCTTCATGGCAAACAAAAGCCTGTTACCAAATGCAGCTGGCCACAAGAGGCAATGGCCAAAAACCCCGAGCCACCTCCAGGAAGGGCCTAATGGCTTCGTGTTGCCCTGTTTCTGTGAGGAACGACAGCGCCAGCCCAGGACAAGGCCCTCGGCTGGGATCTCCCGGTGCCACAGCACCCTAGGCCGGCTCCAGCCCCTCACTAGGCCGTGGGGCCGACGATGGGCCCAGCCCAACCCGCGGCCCGGGCCACCAGGCCCGCCGCCTCCCTCGCCAGGCCGCGGCCGCACCGGAGCCCCGCTGCAGAGCCTCACGGCGGGC